CATAGAGTTCGGAGAGGTCAAGTAATTTGCCTTCAGTCACAGTGTAAGTGGTAGGGCCAGGATCTAAATCCAGGTGTGCTTGATCTGAAGCCCAGGCTTGTAACCACTGTGCTCAGTCTGGACAGGAGGAGAAGGGCAGCAACAGGGAGGGCGCTCAGCCCTCAGGGAGGAAGAAAGCGGTTCTTTGCGGAAGCTGGGGCCCACGTGCATACCAGAAAGTATAGAAAGTTACACAGTGGGGGATGTTGAGTCCCAGGGTAAAAACACTTGAGAGATTTCTCCCAGCTTCCTCCTCCTCCTCCCTGCACCTGCAACGCTGACCAGGTTGCTGGCCTGCTTCAAAACCGTTCCATTCATCCCAGTTAGACAGGTCTAGGTCCAAACTCCTTACCAGGCAACCAAGGCCTTTGGGACTTCACGTCAACCAGCCTCTCAGCCTCCTCTTGTATTTCCAGCCCGCTGTGTCTGGTTCCTGTACTTCCTTCTCAAAGCCCTGAAATGGTCCCCAGCTCCTCTGATCTGAAGCCTTCCTCGTCCATGCCCTCCCCGCCCTGGCACCCCAATTCTACTTCTTTCAAGGCTCTTCCCTTGAAAGTGGCCTCCCCTGAAGCCTCCACTGACTCTTCTCAATACTCGGCAGGTTCCCTCTGCCCTGCCCTCCGGACCTTGGCTTTGCACACAGGGCACACGTGAGCCCCTTGTGTCTGCTTCTGGCCTCCAGGTTAAACTGAGCATCTGCCAAGCTCCTCAGCAGCTGCCTCGCTACAGACTCCCAGTCTTTGATTCTGCATTTTATGCTTCAGTAAGACCAGTCACTCAGCCTCTCTTGGCCTCAACTATCTCACCTGTAAAACGGAGGAAACAGAATCTACCTCATAGTATCGGGAGGGTTGACTTTGAATACGCAGGCAAAGCTGGGAGCCCACTGCCTGCACATAGTACCTGATCTTAACTGTCAGCTACCTATGACCAGTGACCCTGATCACGATTTCTTTAGAATAAACTCACGGGCGATTCTGCCCTGGACGCAGGCAAACGCTGGCATCTCCCCGTCTGGAGAGGAGAGGGGAGCAGTCGTTTCAGGGCATGGAGGTCATGCATTGGCTGCGGATGAGCTTTGCTTTGCTGGCCTCTCTGTTCTCTCACTGAGGCAGTGAAGGGTGAAAGTGACCACTCTTGGCTGTGACCATACTGCGGGGTGAAGGAGAGGAGGCTCGATGCCCTCTAGCACGCGGTGGGCGCCCATGCAGAACTGAACGGGGAAGGGTCAGAGCAGACCTAAACCTGGGGTGTGTGGTGGGGTGGGGTGGGATATGGAGAGAAGCAAGAGGAAGCAAGTCTTTTTAGGGCTTCTCCGGTCCCTTTCTTCCGCCCCTCCAGGTTGGAGTTAAACACATCGCAGGGAGAGTCAGAAGGGGTGAAGGTCGAGGCTCGGGATGGAAGAATTGGTCCCGCGCCGCCCCAGTGCAGTCGGCGGGCTCAGGGACCCAGCGGAAGGCCGGCCGGGCACGCCCCCCCCCGCCCCCCGCTCCGCGCCCGCCGCCGCCGCCTCCTCCCGGCGCGAGCGGGCGGCGCGCTCCGGAGGGAGAGCGGGGCCGGAGGAGGTTTGCTACCCCCTCGGCGGCCAGCACCTGCCCCGCGCCGCCCCGCGCCCGCCCAGACTGGGAATCCAGGGGCGCCAACACCTTTCTCCCCCCGGGCCGGGGAGCCAGCCAGGGGGCAGCGCCGGAGCCCGGGGGGAGCGCGGCCCCGCCGGCCGGCCGGCCCGCCCGGGCTGGGGGCAGCTAGGACGGCCCCGGGTAAGCGGCGGGAGGCAGACGGGCCAGGGCCGGGCTGGGTCGGTGGGGGTGTGGAGGGGGGCCGGCCGGGCCGACGGGGCCAGGGACGCGGAGGGAGGAGGGGGCCGGCAGGCTGGCAGGGAAGCGGCGCGGGGCGGCCACGTGAGCGCTGGTGCGGGGGGTGGGGGGTGCCTGCAAGGTGCTGGAGGCGGAGAGCCGGCAGGGCTCCGGCCTCCCCCCGCCCCTCCACTCCTACCAATCAGGTCGTATAGAACCCAGCATCCTCCGACGCCCCCACGCACCCACCCAGCCACCCACTCCCACATGAATGTGACGGGGACCAACAGCGGGCCGACGTGGTGCCTCGGTCCACGGGACTTGCAAACCGCCCCCCTCCCACGCCCTCAGCTTGGGGCTGGGACTCAGGTGTCCGGGCCCCCGGCAGGGGAACCAGAAGCAGGCTTTGGCCCCAGTGTCTGTCCCCGGGCGCCGTCTGCAGACTCACCGCAGAGCACAGGCCTTGGGGAGGGAGGCTGAGGGGTGCCTGGGCCCTGCTTCTCTGGGCAGTCCTCTTCCACCGCCACCCCACCCCCCGCAGCTGGGGATGTTGGATTAATAAACACTCAGACCCAGACCCCTGCCTGGGAAGCAGGAGGGGGCCCACGGTCACCTCTGAGTCAGGGACGGGACCACACTTGGGCCTGCTGGGCTCCAGGAGGCTGTTCCCAACCTGGGGGCCTCTCGCTGCACCCTGCTCCTTGGCCCCAGCACTGTGGTCCCGCTTTTACTCCCCAGCTCTTCCCCCAGAAAGGGTTGATTTCAGGGCAAGGGAGTATGTTGTCCAGGAGAATCTGCAGGTAGGGTACAACCTAGAGACCTCTTAAGTTGCCACACCCAGGGGGAGACCGGAAGTCTTCTGCATCCTTTGCCCTCTCTTCTTCCCCTAAGATGCCCCCCTCCCCAGCGTGTGCTGGTTATGTAATTAACCCAGCTGAGGCTCTCTGCCAAGCTGACAGGGTCCAGGGATGCCTGAGGGGCCCAGGGCCCTGGAGGGGTTTAGGGGGAGGAGGGGCTGGGACTTCCCCACGTTGGGAGCACACAGAAGTAGAGATGCTCTTGTTGGGAAAATGGCACTGCATGGGGCAGGAAAGACATGAGAGTCCTAGGCTTAACTGACAGCTCAACGGGCTACACGGTCTTCACGTTCCTGAATTTTTGTTTGTTTGTTTTCACCTGCAATAAAATGGGGCAGGATTGCACACACACTACATATATGTGAGCAACAGTGCAACAGTGCATAGTGACCCATCAGGGATGGCTAGGAGGTCCCCCTGGGATCTTGGAAAGCCTTTGATGAATGAAGGGCCCCTCGCCCCTGTTTAGTGACCACCTCCTCTGTGCAGGCACCGTGCATGCTCAACCTCATAACACCCTGTGAAGCTTCTTGCCCAAGATCACACTGTAGGTGAGGGGCAGAGCAGGGGGTCCAAAGCTGGTGGGTCTCACCCCAAATCCTGCCCGTGGTTTACTCGGCTGTGTGCGCAAATCCATGCCAAATGGGTGGGGTCCTCTGAGCCAGGCCAGGCTGAGGGACGTTCAGCTGTGAGCTGCCCACACGGGAAAGGGCACGCACCGACAGAGAAAGCATGCACGCGTGCTGGAGGCTGTGGCCCTATCAGCGCCCCGCACGCCCATCTGCCTCGGACCCGTTTAGCAGACAGGAAGTCTCGGGCACATGTACCTGCTTCCCTGGTCACCATCCTCCACAGAATGAGAAGGCACCTGGCTAAGAGGTTTACTTGAATTATTTCAGAAGTAGGGGCTCATGACCCTACTTTATATGTGTGCAGAACGTGGCTCAGATTGGACAGGCCATCTGCCCCCTGACCCGCAGCTAGGAAACATCAGAGCTGGGATTTATTCCCACACTGAACTCACTGGAAACTGAGCAAGCAAGGAGCTAATGAAGCCATGTCAAGGTTCCACCCCATAGCAGCCCATTCCTGGGCACCTGCTGTGTGCCAGGCCCACTGAGCTCAAAGGTTGTCAGGGAATCAGACCCAGCCCTTGGCCTGTGGTCTTCTCCAGCTAGAATCATTAAATTTGGAAGCTGGGAGTACTCCGACATTGTAAAAAGGAGTACACTGTAGAAAGCCTTTCCCAGCTGTGTGCCTTGGGCTCATTTCTTCCTCCCTCTGAGCCTTCCCTCCAAAGTGGGAATAACTACCTCCTGGGAATATTTTATTGACTGTGGATAACACTGGAAAAGACCCAGATGCTGGGAAGGATTGAAGGCAAAAGGAGAAGGGGGTGGCAGAGGATGAGATGGTTAGACAGCGTCACTGACCCAATGGACATGAATTTGAGTAAACTCCAGAAGTAGAGGACAGGGAAGCCTGGTGTGCTGCAGTCCATGGGGTTGCAGAGTCGGCCATGACTTAGCCACTGAACAACAGCAGCAAAGATAACCACATGGGCGTGCTGACCTAGAGTAACCGCTCAACACGTGTCACGCGCCAGAGCCAGAGCCATCCTCTAGTCCAGGGGTTCTCGGCAGGAGTTGAAGGTGGCAGGTGGTGGGGAACACACTTTGGGTCATCGTAGTCCCGAGAGGCTGCTGCTGGCAAGTACCTCCTGGCAGCCAGGCACCTTAAATGTCCTGCTCAGTAAAGAATTCTCTCGCCACGAAAATGCCAGGAGCACCTCCACTGAGGACCAGGAGACTGCAAGGTGTTGTCTTATTCTGGGCTCCGCGGGACAGCTGGGGCTTGAAACAAGGCTAGAGCTCTGTCCACTCCCTTCTGCAGCCTTGCCTGGGGTTTGGGAGTCAGACTGGCCAAAAGTCAGGTCATAACACAAGTCAAGAAAGCTGATTCCCACTAATGGGATGGAGGACAGAATGGAAAACGGAGGAAGGGGAGGTTCTGGATAGATGGGATAGGAGCTCTGGAAAAAGGAGGATGAGATGTCCCAAGTGGCAGGAACAGCTCCATCACAGTCCCCAAGGTGGAAAAGTGCAGGATATCTGTCCCAGGAGAAGCCAGCCCATCAAAGCCCGCCTCTCATCCCCACAGGCCAGGTGGAGTCCGCAGAGGGCCCTGGGCAAGCCGGGGGCAGCGGTGATGGGTCCTGACGGTGGCTGAGCCCCCAGCCCCTGGAATATGCAGCCCGGGGGAGCCCCAGGCAGCGGCGAGGACGCGGTGGCGGAGCCGGGCGGGAGGCATGGTCTCCACCTACCGGGTGGCCGTGCTGGGGGCGCGAGGCGTGGGCAAGAGTGCCATCGTGCGCCAGTTCCTGTACAACGAGTTCAGCGAGGTCTGCGTGCCCACCACCGCCCGCCGCCTCTATCTGCCTGCTGTCGTCATGAACGGCCACGTGCACGACCTCCAGATCCTCGACTTCCCGCCCATCAGCGCCTTCCCGGTCAACACACTGCAGGTAGGGGGGCGTGGTGCGGGGCCGGGGCGGAGGCGGGGCTGGGCGCTGACCCTGCTGCCAGCTTGGAGAGCTCCACGCTGCACCACCCGCCACTCTGCTAAGAGCTTTGCCGGGATCCCATTCATTTGTGCACCGGTTCATCCAACAGATATTTGAGGAATGTGGCTCAGGTGGTAAAGAATCCACCGGCAACGCAGAAGACCCAGATTCTGTCCCTGGGTCGGGAAGATCCCCTGGAGAAGGGAATGGCAACCCACTCCAGTTATTCTTGCCCAGAGAGTTCCATGGACAGAGGAAACTGACGGGCTACAGTGGAGTCGCAAGAGTCGGACACGACTCTTTCACTTTCAATGTGTGCCTGGCCCTGTGGTAGGCACTGGGGTGGAATGGTGCTCAAAGCAGAGAGCACTTTGCCCTCAAGGAACTCAGTCTGGGGAGACGACAAACAGGCAATTATACTGATGACTGTCATGACTGGAGGGAACGCAGGGAACTAAGACAACCCTTATGGGGGCATCCATCCCACCACGTGTGTCAGAGTGGGGGTCACGGGAGGTGATGTCTCAACTGGGTGGGATCTGGGCAGGTGAGGGGCAGTGGAGAGAAAGACATAGAGCACCAGAGGCCTATTAATATTTTGGGCTCTGCCTCCCTTGGCCTCAGACCCACATCATCTATAGAAGGAATGGCAGAAGAAAAGGCTGGGACCTGGGAGACGTGTATACTCAGAGGCTGGAGACCCCAACCAAGTTTCTTGCTCAAGGGCCTGTTCTCAAAGTGATGCTCTGTTCCCTGACCTCAGAATTGGCCCCCGGGGCAGCCTTTCCTTCTGGGGTTGGATTCAGATGCCCCCGGGCCCCGGCTCACAGGGTCCCGCCTGCAGGCCCGGGTCCTCCTTCCCTCTCTCTAGGTCTGGCTTGAGAGGGGGTTGGGTTGGCTCACTGAAAAAGCCCCTGAGCAGAATGCAGAGCTTCTCCAGGAAAGACAAACATAGAGGAGGCCCTGAAGTCAGGAGCTATAGCTTGGCCAGCTGTCACTGTGCAAATAGAGTAATTTCTCGGGTGGGGCTGGGCTGGGGTGGGGCTCATACTTGGCATTGTCTCAGCAGCTCCAGGCAGGACGGCTGTGGTCCAACCTCAGGGACACCTATCTCTCCCAGGTCCAGGGGTGTCCACGCCTCACCCCTGGGAAACACTGAGGTCAGGGCAGTGGGTTCAAGGTCAGATGTTCTCGTTCTTCTCCAAAGGAGGCTAACAGTAGCCCGAGTGAAAGCTCAGCTTCTGCTCTGGTCCTGTGCATTGAGCCGGGTTTATTTTTTCACATTTTGTTGTGTGTTTTCATTTCATTTCAATTTCGGCATTGATAATATCCAATTTAAAAGCCCAAGCTTTATGTTTAAAAAAAAAAAAGCACACTCAGAAATCTCAGCCCATTGCCGCCCTCCCCACCCTGATTCTTGCTCCACTCTCTAGAGCCATTCTCACTGGTTTTTTAATTCATATTTCCAGGATTTCTTTATGCAAATAAGAAATCGTATTCTTATTCCACTCCACATCTTGCATTAACCTGGAGGTCTTTCCACATCCGTACTTTAGAGCTCTCTTCTTCATTCTTTTTTTTTAAATTAAAAAAAAAATTTTAAGTATTTATTTTCACTGTCTTAGTGTTTTTAGCTGTACTTTTTCATGTTGTGTGTTGTTATTTTTTATTAATTTATTTTAATTGGAGGCTAATTCCTTCACAATATTGTAGTGGTTTTTTTCTTCTTCATTCTTTTTTTCATGGCTACACGGTATTCCATTGGAGAAATATATGTGGAATCCCTTCTTGCTGGACAGGTGGACTGTTTCCAAATTGTTGCTTCAAAACAATACCACAGTGAATAGGCTTGTAATAGTCATGTTGTACATGTATGTGTTAGTCACTCAGTTGTGTCCAACTCTTTGCAATGGTGCGGACTGTAGCCCACCAGGCCCCTCGGTCCATGAAATCCTGCAGGCAAGAATACTGGAGTGGGTTGCCATTTCCTTCTCCAGGGGATCTTCCTGATCTAAGGATCGAACCCAGGTCTCCTGCATTGCAGGCAGATTCTTTACAGTCTGAGCCCCAGGGAAGCCCCCATGTTGTACATAGGAAGGTATATGTGTAGGATCAATTTCTAGAAATGGCATTGCCAGGTCAAATAATAAATGCAACTGGAGTTTGAAAGGTGCCACATTCCCTTCCCCTTCTGTTGGGTTAGCCAAAGTTTGTCCATGTTTTCCCTTAAAGTAAACAGATAACCCTAACCCTAAGGTATTGCGGAAAAACTCAAACTTTTTGACCAACTTAATATAAAGGTGCATATTTTGTGCTCCTTTGAGAGATGTTATATGAGCACTTGTTTCCCTAAGCCACCAGAGTGTATTGTCAAATTTTTGTATTTTTGATAGTCTGAAAAATGAGCTAGGATAGTCTAGGTGTACTTTTTATTTACATTTCTGATTATGAGCAAAGTTGAGCATCTCTTCATATGTTAAAGGGCCTTTGTTTCCTTTTTCTGAAAACTGTCAATGCCTTCACCCATCTTTCTGTTGGATCATTGGCCTTTTTCTTCCTGGTGGACCCTTAGTTTTGGACTCTCCAAGGATGTCCAAGACTTCACCCCTGGAATACGAGAAAGGGACATGGTGCCGAGAAATGCTGAGACAGGATCCGGCATGCCCCAAGGAACAAATAGTAGAAATCCCAGTGGCTACTGTCTGAAAGTAAGAACACATTCTCCCCCAATGCCAGAAGAAAACCAGCCTAGGAGGGCAGCGTTTCTAGGGTCTGAGCCTCAGCTGTTGATTTTGCCGCCCCTCTCCTCCTATCAGAGAAGGGAGTGGAGGTTAGAGGGTGTGTGCGACCCACCAAAGGAGTGAGCAGCAAGTGCATGGCTGGCACCCATGGCTCCCTCAGCTCCCATGTCCTTGGAACTGGACTCAGTTTCTATGGATCCTTCTCTGTCTTGACACAGCCCCAAGATGGCCCTTTACCATCTGGAATGCTGCATGGTGCTCGCTGGAAGGCAGGCTGAGTTTTCTTGCTTGCTCCCTTCAATCAGGGGTGAAGGGACAACCCAGCCAATCAGGAAGGAGCCTTCTTCCTCTGCTTCTTCGGACCCCCAGAGAGGAATAGGTGGGAGGCAGCCTGGAGGGCCCCCTTGAGGAGGGAGCAGGTTGGGGGGAGCAGTGGGACTGTCACCCTCGAAGGCTGGCAGCTGTTCCCTCTCTGCCTGTTTCCCCACCCCTCCCACTTCTTCCTGATCGCTACTCCTTGCAGTGGGATGGGGGAGGAACGGCGAACACGCGGGGGTCCCAAGCTCCCCAGAGGTCCCCAGCTCCCCAGAGGTCCCCATGTCCAGTGGACTACAGTCTACTCTGGCCTGAGAAGCCAGTTCCTGGTTTCCTGTGGTTTCGGATTTGTCCTCAGCATCTCCCCCCCCCACCCCCCGCACCAAAGTTGAAACTCAGCACAAACAAAAGATGCCACATCATCCCCCTGGAGAAATCCACTGCAGCAGCTTCTAAGCATTTGAGTTGGGAAGCACTTGTCTGGAGTCAGACTTAACTCTCCCCCACTGTCGCCCAAGCCTCTCCCCTTTTCATCCTTCTCTGCAGTGTTAGAGCCTGCTGCAGTCCTCCAAACCTGGTCCCTACCCCAGTTTAGCTTATAAGCTGGTGCCGGAGACAGGCCTGCGCCTCTCTCTAGTCTTTTCCTGGGCTCTGGTTCCTAGAGAAAACCCTCATCCTCCGTGTCCTGGGAGGTCTCTGCCTCGCCAAGCTTCCAGGAGCCCCCTCCTTCCCACACATTGGCTGCCTTCTGCTGCCCTTGCAGTTCTCATCTGCTGGCAGGTTAATTGGCTAATTAATCTCTTAAGGAATCTTCCCTTTAGTGCACTCAGCCTTGCCAGGGGCCTGTTCAACTTGAGCTGCAGCCCTTTCCAGGAGAATTTGCCACTGGTGTTCAGGAAGTTCCATCTCCCTGGAGCTGCCCTGGGGCCCTGGTCTAAATCAGCCCCCAGTAGGCATCCGGTCTCAACCTTTCTCTCCGCAGGGCTGCTGCTTCTCAACCTTGAAGGCAGAGAGATGCAAGCAGAAGGGGCACCTCAGGCAGCAATCTAAGGGCAGTGTTACAGGCAGGAATTGGGTCCAGGTGGGGTTCAGGACCATGGAGAGTTCTCCAGCCTAGGCCGTGCCATCCAAGAGCCCGCCAAGAGCCTACAGGTGTGAGGCACCGATGGGAAGGGGAGGAGGTGTGTAAAAATGAGGAAGGCTGGGTTCTGGTCCTCTCAGGAGCTCACAACAGAATGGGGGACCTGGGGATGGAGAAGGTACAAAGCTGTTGCTCTTACCAAGGTATCATGCAGCTGTTCTAAGAACATAGGAGATGAAAAGAAGAGTCCCTTACTTGCAGGAAAGGTTCTTGGAAGAGGAGGAGGCATCTGTGCCGAGGCCAGGGGAGACAGGGTTTCAACAGGTCCAACAACTAGCTCAAGGCCGGGCTCTTAGAGGCATTTCATAAATGTAATCGAACAAAGGACTGGATGGACCGATTGGGGCACAAAATGGGACCAGACAGAACTCAGCTCCAGGCGTGCATGGGACAGACAGTGGCCCTGGAAGTCAGACAGTGTGAGCTGACCTATCCTGGCTTGGAGGTGAAGAAGGTGTAGCACTGAGCACTTGCATTCTGCCTGGGCCTGGCCTCCTGGAGAAAGGAGGCTTAGGTGCAGTGGCCGCTAAGAGTGCTGCATATCGCTGGAGGTGGCAGGGCACACAGGGAGCCCTCGTGGCTGCCCTGACCTTGGTGTGGTTGGGGGTGTTGCAGGAATGGGCAGACACCTGCTGCAGGGGACTCCGGAGTGTCCACGCCTACATCCTGGTCTACGACATCTGCTGCTTTGACAGCTTTGAGTACGTCAAGACCATCCGCCAGCAGATCCTAGAGACAAGGTGAGGGGCTGAGAGACACTCCACTGCCACTTAATTGGATGCCCCCGTGCCGGCCACTTCCTGTGAAAAGGGTGCAGGGAGGGGGGCAGGTCAAGTACCTCTGGTTCCCACACATATAGTTACACACACACACACACACACCCATGCCATTTTGCTGCCCCTGTTTCTGTTAACCCCTTTTAGGACCCTTACCATGGGCTGGCTAGTCTAGTGCAGTAGTTAAGATCAGAGGCTCCAGGAAGGAGACTTCCAGGGCTGCATAACTAAGCCAACCTCTGTTTCTTCCTCTGTACAATGGGGAGAACATTATTATTACGAATGCTCTGCAGCATACTGGATGTAAGTTCCCCCACCAGGGATCGAATCCATGCCCCCTGCATTGGGAGCGGGAGTCTTAACCTCTGGGCCACCAGGGAAGTCCCGGGGAGAACATTAATAACCTACCTTTTTTATGCCAGTCATAGCGCCGCGCCTGGAACAGAGGGATGGTAGCAGTAACAGGGATCAGGCCCAGCCCACCCTACCTTAGGTCCGGGGGTTGGGAGACGCGAGACGGTGCGGTGCTGAGTGGACTTCCCACCTCGGCCCGCAGGGTGATCGGCACCTCCGAGACGCCCATCATCATCGTGGGCAACAAGCGGGACCTGCAGCGCGGACGCGTGATCCCGCGCTGGAATGTGTCCCACCTGGTGCGCAAGACCTGGAAGTGCGGCTACGTGGAGTGCTCGGCCAAGTACAACTGGCACATCCTGCTGCTCTTCAGCGAACTGCTCAAGAGCGTGGGCTGCGCGCGCTGCAAGCACGTGCACGCCGCCCTGCGCTTCCAGGGCGCGCTGCGCCGCAACCGCTGCGCCGTCATGTGACGCGGCGCGGCGCGGGCGGAGAACTCCGACGGCGGAGCGTGGGGCCTGCGACGCCCCCGCAGCCACGCACCTCCCCCGCGGGGAGAGGGAGCGTCCCCGCCACCGCCCGGTCCTCACTCCCGCGCCTGTCCGCCCCAGGACGGCCGCCTCTAGTGCTGTAGTTCCTGCGGTTCCCGCCCGGCCCCAGGGCCGCCCCGCCCTCCGGGATGGGGTGCACGCGCGGGACACCCAGGGTGGGGGTGGGGTGGTGCTGCCTTGGCCGGACCCCCTCACCCCCCAACACACACCCGTCTTCTCCAGAGAGTGTGTGTGTGTCTTGTCATCGCTCCGCCTCTTCTTTCCCGGTGTCTGTCTGTCCGCCCACGCGTCTGTTGGTTCCCCACCCTCTCCACCTTCCAGCTTCGTTCACAGGGCTCTCGTTTCGTCCATCCCCTTGTCGCGGATCCTGGCAGCTTCTTGGTGAGGCCAGCCTTCTGACCGTCAGCATCGCCGGCACAGGGCAGAGAGATGCGGGTGGCCCACGGACCACAACCGGGGTCCGAGGGTTGAGGTCCTAAGGTCCGTCAGGGGGAGAAGGCTGAGCTCTCCCCCTTCCAGGGAGACCTCCCCGCCCAGCAGCCCCCCCCAGAGACACAACAACCTACCTTCCAGCCTTAACTCGATGGTCCGTCCCTGCCGGGTGCCCCTCACCCCCTTCCTGACCCTAAAGCCAGCTCACCCCCTGGGTTAAAAATTTTTTTTTTCTTCTTGACAGAATGTGGAGAGGGAATGCCCCAAATGATAGATTTATTTCCATGATGCCAGCTTCCAACCCTCTGTTCCCTTCTGAGTTGGGTGGTCTGCCAGATGGGGGGTGTGGGGGGGAGGGGCTGGTGTTGGGCGGGGTGGGGGGGCAGTCGGGTTATTTCAGCGAAGACTCTTGTTTATTTCCCCATCTGACCCCAAGCTGACTGCCCCAGACCCTGCCTGCCTTGAATCTCAGACTACCCTGATTAATCTGGGAAGGGGCAGAGCCACAAAAAGAATTATGCACCCCCTTGTTCCCATGCTTGGGGGCGATAATGCGGGCATCCCTACCCCCAGACGGAGGCCCTCGGGATCTGATGTCCCCTTGTCCCAACACCTGGTGGCATTATCCCCTGACCCACTCCACCCCGCTTTCTCCAGCTGCCTGGCCAGTTTCTACCTCTCGTCACCAGAGCTGATCACTGTCAGTTTTGTACCGACTTAGAAATAACAAAGGAAATGAAGACAGTAGGAGTGGCCTGAGGAGATCACTGGGGGACTTGGAGGGCGGGAGAAGTGGTGCAAGCCCCCCTGCTCCGGGCCAAGGTCTTGAGGCTGAGCCATCAGCCCTGCTCTGGAGGGAGGATAACGAGGTCCCTTGTTAGGAGACAGAACAAGCTAGCCCGGAGGTGGCCGAGCTGTGGATCAGGTAGCCCAGCGTGGTGATGGAGAGGAGTCTGGGGACGGGGTCCTGGGTGGCAAACTTACCATCCAGATCCAGTGTGAGAGGGAAGCTTTGATTCTTTCTTCCACTTCCCCAGGTGATGCCCCCTCCGCTCGCTGGGTTAATGCAGCTCCACCGTGACTGCCCTCGCCCTGGGCGGTCCCATATCAGGGTTCCGGTCCCTGCTGTGCTGCGTGACTTTGGGCAAGTGACCCGCCCTCTCTGAGCCTCCCTCTGAAGCAGAGGCGGTGGCTCCCCTCCCCCACACCTTGGAGTGGCCGGAAGGGTAAAGAAGAGGGGCTGCCCCCTTTCTCCCCTACATCCTTGCCCTCTGACTCACCAGGGGCATGGGTGAGGGAGGGCAGCATGTCACCTGCCCTGTCGCCATTACCCCCAGCTCTGGGGCACCTGAAGTGAGGGTGAGGGACCCAGGCCTCTGGCTGGCCCCCATCGGAGCCATTGGAATGTACCGCCTGGCTGGCCCCTCTCACCCACCCTCCCACCCCTCACTACACCCCAGATCTTTGATTTTGATTCCTTCTGCTCCCATTCTGAGTCTCTGTCCTCCTCCCTGCTCCCCTCCCTCCCCAGGGTTTCCCACCACAGGGTCTGGAAGTGTGTGTGACGCCCATTGCGCTGTGATCGGAAGTCAGATTAAAAATCAGGGAGTGTTTTCCCTCGTTTCTGTACTGAGGTGTTGGCTCAGTTCCTGCTGTGGGGATGAAAGGGGCTCCCTACGGGGTCTGCCCTTCTGAGCTCCAGGTGATGTGGGGGCCTCAGTCCTAAAGCCCGGGTCAACCAGGAGAACAAAGAGAAAGGGAAAGTTGGGGCTCATCTGTCTCCATCTATCCTGCCTCGGAACCCTCCAACTGATCAAAACCATCCAGGGGATAACATCTCTCTCTGCCACCTTCTTGGGAAAACTTTCATAAGTGGACTCAGGCCCAGCTTCTGGTTTTGTGTCTTCTTCCCACTCAGGGCTGAGGTGCTAACTCCAGGGGTGTAGATGTGTCAAAGAATGCTCTCAACCATCGCTCTTGACTCCATGATCTCCACTCCCAACCCCCAGGGTAGAGTTTTTAAGCCACACATGCTAAATGCTACGTTGCTTCTGTCGTGTTGGACTCTGCGACCCTATGGACCGTAGCCTGCCAGGTTCTTCTGTCCATAGGACTCTCCAGGCAAGGATACTGGAGTGGGTTACCACCCCTCCTCCAAGGGATCTTCCCGACCCAGGGATTGAACCTGGGTTCCTCAGTCTCCTGCGTTGGCAGGTGGCTTCTTTACCAGGAGCGCTAAACCCGGCAGGAGCCTGTGTGAGGCACCCTGTCCCTGTCCATGGTGCTGACGCAACAGCCGCTTCTGGGAGAGAAGGGCTGTCTGGCAAGGTTGGCTGACCCTCCAAAGGGGAAGCGTCTCTGACCCCCTAGCTCTCTCATCCTTGTCCCTCCCCCCCCGCCCCCCAAGTGGGAAAATGTTGCTACACCTTTCTGCATCACCACAGTCATAGAGTGGACTCAAGAGCTGAGGGTTCACGGGCAGACCCTCTCATGTTTAATAACGTAAGAGTTGTGGAAGTGGGCCTGGCCAGAGAAGAGGGTGCAGGAATTGGGAGAGCTGTTTTGGGAGAGGGTAGCCCGACCATCCTGGAGTTGGATTGAGACTCATGGGTTGCCTTTCTGCTCAGCTGAGCAGATTTGAGTCTCTATTTGCTTTCTAACCTCTCCTGGCCAAGGCCCTGTATTGAGGGGAGGGACCTTCCCTTCTGTTCCTGCAGTTGGGAGTGCATGGGCATCTTTTCACTTCCCTCCTCGGGGTCAGGGAGGAAAGCATCTTCTCAGACCCAGGACTCCTCCTCAGGTGAGAGGGGGACTGGATCGAGCCGCCAGGGCCCCTGGCCCTCCAAAGGCGGGGAGCCGCTCTCCAGGGGGGCGGCTGGCTCTTTCGTCTCCTCTCCGTCCTCCTCCTCCCCTGCCGAGGCTCCATCCAGCAGAGTAGCCTCCCCTCCCTTGCTGCCCAGTGCTGCTCTCACCAGCCTGCCCTTGGGCGGTGCCCTGACTGGACCCAGGCGGAGGTAGTTCAGTGGCTTGGGGATCCGTGAAGGCCGCTTCTCAGGCCTGTGATCTCTCCGGGGCCGGATCCTGGGCCTCAGCTTCAGCTTGTAGATGGATGGAATTCTCTGGGGCTTCCGGAGTGTTCTCTTCCCCTTGCCTGGACATGCCTGGGCCCTCTTGGAACTGGGGTCAGAGGGTGAAGGTGTGAGGGGCTCCGGGCTGGCAGACACCGTAGGGGCTGAGCAGGCCTGTCCCCCTTGGACCTCTGTCCTGATGCCCTTGGCACTTGGGCTTGCTGCTGTCCTCAGCCCAGTCTCTTGGGCTCTCAGTTTCCCTTTGAGGCTTCCTGGGCTTACAGTTACAGCTGGCGTAGGGGAGCCTGGAGGGGCTGCCTTCCAGGCTCCCAGGTCCACTTTAAGGAGGGGTGGGGGGCCCTGAATCAGCTCTTGGATGACTTTGTCATAAAGACCACCAGGGTCAGGCCACCACCCCCCCAGACTGGGCACGTAGACGCCACTGCGAGGAATGACTGCAGACGCAGTGCCCTGGGGGCGGGCACCCGCCACTCCTAGCAGCTTCGTGTTGGTTGAAGGCTCCTCCTCAAGGCCGTGATGGATGCCTTGTTCCTTGGTTCTGCCTGATGGCAAGGGGGTGCCCCTCCCCTCCCGGTGCTGTGGGCCCAGGCCCCGGGGCCCTCCAGCGTCCGCTGTCAGCTTCAGGTCCTCCTTCCCCTCTTCCACAGAACAGTGCTCATGTCTGGACCCAGACAGGTCTCCAGTGATGGCCCTTAGTGGAAGGGGGCCTTTCTCCAGTTCTGTGCTGGGACCTCCACTTGCAGTTCCTGCAAAGCCTCTTCCCGGAGTTGGGGGGCGAGCTGGGGGCAGCCGGACAGGGATCTTGGTGGACCCTTTGAAGGGGGATGGAGAGCAGACATGTGCTGGCCCCCTGAGCTGCGAGGAAGCACCGTCAGCCTCACCGCAGGGCGGCTGCCTGGGGCCCCCGGGCTTGGCTGGGCTGGGAGAATGCGGCAGGGGAGACAGTCCTCTTGCTGGGGTCCCTTTGGTGGTGGCCTCGGGGGCTTGGTGTCTCTGGGGGGTGGAGTTCCTGGCATGCGTTCCCCGGCTGTCTGTCCTCTCTTGAACCGAAGGTGTGGGAGTCCTCCCCTGGGGGAGTTCAGGGGGATGTCTTTCCTCCCTCTTCCCGGAGCAGGTACACAGTGGGTCTTGACTCCTGGGAGTGGGTGAGGACTGAGGGCTGGGCAGGTTGTCCCCAGCTGGCAGCTGCCTCCAAGATGGGGCAAGCAACTTCTCCTGGCACCTGAAAGGATGAATCATAAACTGCAGGGTCATGTAATCCAGTCCCCTGACTCGGAAGGGATGACCTTCCCGCTGCCAGAACTCCCAGGGGGCCAGACTTCATGTTGAATGAAGTAGACACTTCCTCTCCCCCATGACTGCCAGAGATGCTTCCTTAGAGCAGATGCTGTTTAAGCCTGTTCCCCGCCACCACCCCATTCCTTGCGGAGCAGATAGAAAGCAGCCTGGTCTGGGCCCCAGGTTGCTTCAGATCCCATGACTATAGGTCAGCTGTCTTGGGTGGAAAGGGTCTTCATTTCTGCTGTACCATGAAATGGACAGACAGGCCTTGGGTAAGTCTCTTCCCTTTATGGGCCTCAGCCTCCTCATGTGTGAAGTGGGACGATGTATGACGTAACTAGATGATCCTAAAGATACTGGGTGCTTTTTTTGGTTCTGAACACCTGAGGTCCTGCTGGGATGGCGCACTGCTGGGAGACCTGCTCCCCTTATCTTGGGTTGGGGTGGCCTCTGGGGATGTGGACTCCAAATCAGGAAAGGGCCCTGCCCTGTCCCTCCCCAGTACCTCAGCAATGGTGCTGTCTCTCTGAGGACCCCTGGCCCGGCTCTCTCTTCACGGCGGGGTCTGGGGGAGGAGGCAGCAGGGGGCCTCAGCTTTTGACCTGAGGAGGTGTATGTCTTCCAGTCCACCGGGGGCAGCGGGCTCTGGGAGCGGCTGATGGTCATCGTAGGCTGGGGCTGCGAGGGCCCATCCTGCACCCTCACTTCATACTGTGCAGGGTGGGCAGGGGGCTGCAGGAAGCTGCCTGTTTTGTGTGCTACCAACATAGCCCCCCAGAGAGAGGAGGAAAGGGTTAAACTCCTGCTGGTGAGGTCCACAGTTCCCTCCGCCAGCTGCCCCCCACCCTGAATCCCACATTAGAGACACTGGGACCCACTGGGACAGTGATAACACCAGAATTTCCTCAGGGGAGGAGTTTAGGGCATGAAATCTGGTTGGAGGGCCCAGCTGGGGGACTTGTTTAAAGCTGCATTTGTATTGCAAGTTTACATCCTTTACTTAGATTGCATACTTATTTGGGACGTCTTGAGGTGCTGATGGAGATTAAGAGAAGACTAAAGACCCTTCCAAGTTATGTTTGGTGCCCCCATCAGAGCCAAACCCGAACCCAGCCGACAGGCACCGGTGACCAAATGCTGATTCTGCGTGTTTGGCTTTGGCGCCATCGTGTGGTATAAACTGGTACTACACTATGACTGCCTGGGTTTTTCCCCTAGATACCACCCACACCAGGGCCTTCTACGGTATCTTTCTCCATCGCCTCGCACACCTCTTGCCCCTGGAGATCAGACCTACCTCCCACCTCTGCTTCTGGCTTCCCAACCCAGAGTCACAGGGAAGGGGCTCTCAGGGGACTCACAGAGGGACGTGCACCGGCAAGGGTCATGTTTGTCCAGATAGTGACCGAGGGTGTCCCAGCCGCCCCCTACACGCACCATCACGTGGTTCCGGAGGATCTGCAGGGGGCAAGGGTGAGGTGGAGGCAGGGTGAGTTTGTCCTCTCTCCCTGGACCAGCCTGCAGGCCTTCAGCCCTTGCTTGCATCCATGTACACACACACGTGTGTGTGTGGTTGCAGCCGGAGACCCTTCTGTGACTGGCATCGAATCACACATGTTGTCAGGGGTGGAGGCCAAGCTGACGAACGGCAGGTTGCCCCACAGAGAGACACAGGACCTCACGAGCACTGGGTCGTCTGGCCCCGGGCTCTCGTCTCTCTCTTCACCGTGAAGGGGTTCACACCTGCACCCGTTTGTATCAGAAACGGGGCCCTGGCTTTGCGCTGTGGTGTTGTGTTTAAAGAGTTCGCGGGAGTCCTGGCCTCACTCCACTCCCGGTCACGTAGTCTCTTCAGGCCTCCACTTCCTCAGAGGAAACAAGCCGCCGCAGTCCTTCCCCACCTACTTCACAGGGCTCTTGGCTCAGGCTGCGGGGCGAGGGCCGGGGAGCTGGCTCTGCCCCAGGGGCGGCCTGGCCCAGGGAGAAGTCTTAGCCGCGCCCCTAAGCTGCTGGCCACGCCCCCGGGCACAGGTTCTTACTGGTGAGGTGGCCAGGCATGGGCCCAGGGCTCGCGGGGGGCACAGGTCAGAGCCGTACTAGCATCAGAACCCCGTGCTCAGAAGCTGCATGTGAGCGGTGGCCCGTGGCGGGGCCATACAGGGTGTGCAGACTTGGGGGGCAAGTCTCAGGCCCCTTGCTGTGACCAAGCCTCTGGGTGGAAAAGTCAGCATACCCTTCACCCCCACTTCTGCCTGAACACCCCCCGCGAACTAGGCTGAGGCACAGGTAGATGGGAGTGCGGGCTGTTTCTAACTGCCCTAATGGGAGCGGGGGACATGCTTGCCAACTTTGCCAGGAATCTTCTGGAATTCGCAGAGGGAGAGAGGGATGGATAACTGATGGATAGTTATCTGATGGATAACTAGGGGTGGATGGTGATCTCCTTTCCTCACCTTCAGGCCTAGGTAAACCCCACCGCAGGACGCTGGATCCTGCTGACCCCCTGGGCACCCTCCAACCCCCGCCTCCCAAAACTTACCCTGATGAAGATAAGGGTGTTGGAATCTCCCACACGATACTTCCCCTCTGACACCTTGACCATGGAGAACTGAACCGGGCATGTGCAGCGGCTCACCAGGCTCTGAACCTGTGGGCAGTGGGCCCTACGTTCAGCCCTCCCCTCTGCCCAGGGACCAAGCGCCCCTTGCACTCTGGGTCAAGCCCAATGGGCCACCCGCCTGCCCCCGGCCCCAGCCCCAAGGCTTCTGCAGAGTAAGGACCGGGGGCTGACAAGCAAGCAGAGAAGGCGTTCAATGACCTAACGAGAACAAGACCTTGAGTGGTGACCTAGGGCTCAGCGCCCTCGTGGGTCAGCCAACAGGGGCCGTGGAGTGTGATGTTTAAGGCGGACCTTGGGATCTGACTGCCTCCCCCGCACTGTAGACCTTGGGCTGGTGAAGAAACCTCCCGGAGCTGGAGTCCTTGGTGGTGGAAGTGGGTAGTCGCTCCCAGTTCACTCCCACCCCGGGACCCGCTGTGCCGGACACACGCAGGCCGAGCGCTTCACGTGCCCTGGCTCACCTAAGACCCACGGCGGTCATGGAAGGTAGGCATGGGAAAGGTACATCCCCACGGTTCAGAAAAGGGAACCGAGCCACAGAGAGGGCAAATAATGTGCCCAGAGGTCACACAGCCGCGGAGCAGTGACTAAGACTTGAACCAAGCTGTCAGAGAGGGTGCTGGAGTCTGCGTTTGTAACCACCGGCCCACGGGATTTAAACGAGAGGTGTAGGGTGATGGATTCCTAATGAAAACGGTGAGGGTGGTGGCTCAGAGTGGACACGACTTAACCAAAAACCACCGGGTGGGGGAGTGTCGGGGTGGGGCCTGGAGCTCAAGAAGTGGGTGGCTGGCTGGGGGATGGCTGGCTGGGGGGTGGGGTGGGGGCGGGGCGAGGGAGGCGGGGCCCGGGGGCGTGTCCAAGTCCTCACCAGCTGGTCCAGGTCGCGGAAGTGGCAGGGCCTGCGCGCGGGGGGCTCCGGCGGCGGGGGGTTGGGCGGAGGCAGGGCCCGTTCCAGCTGCAGCTCCTCTTCGATCTCTTCCTCCAGCCGCACCAGGGTGGGCGCCGCGACGCCGAAGCGCCAGGCCCGGCGGCCCAGCTCCAGCAGGCACAGCACCACGTTCTTCACGTTCTTGCGCAACACGAGGTCCTCCGTCTCGAACATCAGCACCTCTGGCCCGGGGCGAGAGGAGGGTAGGCAGCCTGAGCCCCCTGCTGACCTCCCTGGAGAGATCACAGCTCGTGGGAGAGCCATGGGGCCACTCTGAATCCGGGCGGGGGCCGGGTGGGAGAAGCAGGCATGGATGGGATGGGGGTTAGCATCTCAGGATCTTGGCGTCAGGCCAGCCCCTCGGAGGGGTCAGGGCAGAATTGAGCGGGTACTGAGTGCAGAACAGTTGGCCGCCTAATAGGAGAGGTGGGGGCGGGAAGAGGGGACGCAGCCAAGAGAAAGAACCCAGTTCTACCTGCCCTTCTCTCTGCTCTATATTCCAGGATGGGTTCAGCAGGAAGAAGCACCCAGGCCTCTCACTTCTGGTAACCACCAGGCACCCCAGACTCAACCCCCAGCCCATGCATAACCTGGCAGGGTGGAGTACAGCCTCTGGAGTCGGGCTGCCAGCTTGGAACCCTGATGCTCCCACCCACTGGGTGTATGACCCTGGGCTAGTCCCAGCCTCAGTCTCTGCTTCTGTAAAATGGGAATGCAGTCTGTTTCATGGGGTTGTGTTAGGGATAGCTCTATGTCCGCAGGCAATGTCTGGCCTGTGGTGAGTGCCCGATAAAACACTAGCCTTTATCAAGGCTGCAAGCCTGCTCCATACCATTGTGGCCACCAGCTGGTGGGCGGGGCCTGACCCCTCCCTCTGCCCCATCCCCACAGCCTGGTGAGTGTTCAGGTTCATCCCTGCCACTGGGTTCAGAGCCAAGGTGATGAGGGAGGCTAATATGTCAGTGCCTGAGTCCTGCAAGCCCCAGCAAGACTGGCTGGGGTCCACTTGCCTCCTCTATTTGCCTCCTCCCCATTCCACCGCAGCCCAAACACACGCCTTCTCAGGGCCCCCTCTGCCTAGGGCTCCCTGCCCCCCAAACTTCGGTTTATTCCCGAAGACTCAGCTCAAATCTCCGTCCTCTATTGGGTCTTTCTAGGTCTCATCGGGTGGCTGCTTCCTCCCATCTCCCCAGCACAGAAGCTCTACTTGAGTTTCTTTCAGTTGGGCTGTAATTTACACATCTTCTCAGCTGTCTCTCTCGGGCCACAACTTCTTTTAGCTCTGGTTCTCAGCCCTCTCAGCACTCACTGCCCAGCCCTGTGCGTGACCCCAAAGAGACAGGTGCTGGAATCATTCATTGAACGCATTGACTTACTGGGGATTTACTACGAGATGGGGAAACTGAAGCATAAAGAGGAATGAGCTGGCCCAAGGCAAATCTGGAAGGAGGACCCCTGACCCCGAGGCAGCCTGAGCCTCAGAGAGGAGATGGATGCCTGGCAGGAGAAGGGTCTTGGCGGGGGAGGTGGGGGAACCCAGGAGGATTACCTTGGATGCCCATCTCCTTGCGACACCACTGGATGAAGTTGGAGATGTTGTCCCGGGCCTGGAAAGTGCGAGGCTGGGCAGCCTTGTTACAGGAGACCCCGGCCCGGGGCAGGGGAAGTCTTTGGGCTTGGGCAGGTGTCTCAGCCAGGAAGGCCAGGGCAGCCTCGGTGATGGCGTTGGCATGCTGGCACAGGACCAGGCCTGTCTCCAGCACCTGCAGGAAGTTGGCTGCGCTGATGTCCAGTCCGTAGAGCTCCCGAAGCCACTCAGCCAGGTCCTCCTTCATGGCTTCTAGGTACTGCTCGCTGGACTTGAAGGGCTGGATGCTGCGCACCCGAGGCCCCGGGGTCCCAGGTCTCCTCCTGCCGGCCCGGGGCTGGGACATGGCCAGGCCGGGCGCCTCCACTGTGCCGCAGCTGCGTCTTCGCTTCTGCCACCTATGGGGTCTTGACAGGTTCCCCCTGACTCAGGGGTCCCCTTCCACCCTCTGAGAGCCTGGGACGGCTCTGCTACTCACCTCTGCCTTTGGCCACCACCACCGTGGCCAGTGGGCTGGGCCAGGCTAGGCCCCCACCCCCCCACATTCTTCAGTCCCTGCCAGAACTTTCCTACTTGCTAGCCCTGCAGAGGTCTCACGCCCCAGCTGCCCAGTCCACTCAGAGGTGGCCGGCTCACAGGACAGATGGAGGGGAAGATACTCCTCTCTTCCCCCCAGGGCTGGACAGGCCACCTAGCCACCCCCAACCCCCACCAGCCGGCCTGGAGTCTGGCTGTCTGTCGGCCTCTCCACTTTGCTTTCCTCTCCTTGGAGACCAGCTGCTGCTACAAACACTCCTTGTTAACCCTTCCTGGCATCGGCTGCCCTGGGGCCCTAGGAGCCAAGAAGAGGCTGGGGCTAGCTTATCGCTCACTTGGTCAACACCGGTGGAGGCTTTAAGGAAATGGGAGGAGGGGAGCAGGGCCAGTGGGTGCCATGCCCCTCGGAGTTCAGTGAGCACTGTCGTTTAGGGGTGAAATAGACGCAGCCATAGAGTCCAGAGCCACGAGTCTGGCCTTGGACTCTTTCCTGAATCCCCCTGTGATCTTCATATACTATCTGTCTCCTCTGTGCCTTCGTTTGCCTCAACTGTAAAATGGGAATAATATCATCTCCCTTTCTGGGGTGTTGTGAGGAAGAGAGGATTCGTGGATGTGGGAAGTCTCCAACTGTCAGGACTGAGGGATCCCAGCTTCATTGATTCTCCCAGCAGCTCTGGCTGTGTGCCACAATCCCCACCTTCTCTGGAGAACCCGCTCCATCCCCCACTCTACCCACAGTCCTCCAGAGTGAGCTGTCAGTCATAGTTTCTCCTCCATGGCCACAGGGATGCATGCATTCAATAAATATTTCCTGCAGACCTACTGTGTGCCATGCACTATTACAGTGCGTAAGGATGTAGCTGTAGGGGCTTCCCTTGTGGCTCAAATGGTAAAGAATCTGCCTGCAATGCAGGAGACCCGGGTTTGGTCCCTGGCTCCGGAAGAGCCCCTGGAGAAAGGGAACGGCTTCCAGTATTCCAGCATTCTTGCCTGGAGAATTCCGTGGACAGAGGAGCCTGGCGGGCTATAGTCCCTGGGGTCTTTTCAAAGAGTCAGACTGAGCCACTCACACTTTCACTTTTCATGTAGCTGTAAATGAAGACCCGTCCTCATGGAGGCTGCTTCCATGATGGTGGGTGATGGGTGATAGCTAAACGTATGAATCTGTAGTGAGTCGGATGGTGAGAAATACCAGGGAGAAAACAGGACTACCGGAGATGGGTTGGGGCTGGGGGATTTTCTATAAGGTGGCTAGGAAAGATTTCACTGATATGGTGATATCTGGGCAGGGACCTGAGGGAATCGAGGAAGCAAGCCCTGCAGATGTCTGCTGGAAGGGTACCCCGGCAGAAGGAAGAGCCAGGGCAAACGCTCCAGGTGGGGAAATTCCCTGGTGGTCCAGTGGTTAAAACTCAATACTTTCTCTGCGGGGGCCTAGGGTTCAATCCCTGCCTGGGGAACTAAGATCCTGAAACCTTTTGCTGTGACAAACAAACCACCCAAAAAAACTCCAGGCAGGGGGATACTTGGCATATCCCAGGCATAGCAATGACAGGTAGAATATGAGGAAGAGGGGAAATAGGGTCTCTATGGAGGGTCTTTGCTTTACCTTTTGGAAAATAATTTTCTTTCAGTTGCCTTCTAAAGGCATCAAGATAATGATTGTTGTACCCATTTCACGGATGAGGAAACAGGAAAACTGAGGCTGGCAGGAGGCCTGAGTTCCTCAGGATATGGATGGACCTTTCCATGGGCTTGACTGAGTGTCTTCATGGCATGGCAGTGGGCTTTCTCCAGAGAGACAGAGCAAGACAGAAGCCACAGGATCTTTTATTACATAGCCTTGAAAATCACACTCTGTCAATTCCCACAACATCCTACCAATGACCCAGGTCGGCCTTATTTCATATGGGATGGGGCTACATCAGAGTGAATACCAGATGACAAGGGTCATTGGGAGCCATTCTAGAGGCTGGTTACCCTCAAGACAGAGGAGCTGTTTCTTTTCCTTTCTTGCTAATAGGACCCTCTTTTGTTTAGGTATTATTCATGGGTAGAGTTTTCTTGAAGTTAGGGAAGATGGGCCCAGCCCCAAAGAGAGAAACTGTCAAGTCTTCCAGCCATTCTGTGAGCTCTCACTGCTCTTTAAATTAGACAGAGTAAGCTTCTGAACTTTCCAATCAAGAACCAAAGTGGCTAGGGGCTTCCCTGGCAGTCCAGTGGTTGGGAATCTTTCTGCCAATGCCAATGCAGAGGACATAAGTTCAGTCCCTGGTCTGTGAACTAAAATCCTCCATGCTGCGGGGCAGCTAAGCCAGCATCTCAAACCACCGAAGCCTGTGCTTCCTAGAGCCTGTGCTCTGCAACAAGAGAAGTCACTGCAATGAGAAGCTCCCGCACTGCTAGAAAGAGTAGCGCCCCACTCGCTGCAACTAAAGAAAAAGGCCGGGCGTAGCCACAAAGACCCAGTGCAGCCATAAATAATGAATTTTAAAAAGAAAACCAAGGTGGCTATAAGCTCCTTTAGTAAATGTAAGGATATTCAGGTTTGGGGAGGAGACCGTACTCCATGGGTCTTTCCTATTTTTTGCATGTCTTACAAGCAGAGGTATTTCAAGGGTGTTTATATAGTGAAAAACATTGGGAGATACAATGTCTTTTTCTGGAGCAAAAAACAGGTTTGGTTATTACCCAGTATAAAAAAATTAGGGTTCCCTAAGCTCAGGGTTCCTCTTACAATGCAATATGCATTGCATACACTGCATATGCAGGTACTACCTAGCACCCATGGGACAGTGGGCCTAGAGAAGATGACACAGGTATGCTGATGCTGCTGCGCCATCAGTAATGAGGTCTTTTATCTCTAACCCAAGAGTCTTCTGTGTTCTGGCAGCACCCAGGAAAACACAGCAGGCTAACTTGCTAGCTTGCACGTAGGCTAAAATTTTAGATTCTTTACAGTTCTTCACAGTGTTACCCCCACGAGATTCTTGGAGGCTTGTCTGCCCTCTTTGTTCCACATCCCACCAAACTGCCTCCACCAAACTGGGAGATGCCCGAAGGAAGAGACCCATACCCCCACTTCAGACCTGGATGGAGCACCATGTCATGTTCCCCTAACAGACTGGGATCTCCTTGACTCCAGCAACTGTATCACATCAGACGGAGGCTCTCCAGACCTGGGTTTGCATCCTCTGCCCCTCTGAATACCACTGACTCTGGCAAAACACCCCACTGTCAGGCCAGGCAACAAAGGAGTTTCCCCAAGTTTCTACGATTTTATTCTTTTCCTGAGCCCCAGCTCTCACATACATACCGAACATCCAGAAGCTACACCTGGCTCTTACCTGAGCCCTGTTTGCTATACCTTGACACCGTGTCCTCTGCTCCTTGGAGCTAAGGCAATGAACTGGAGGTGGGTGGGGCGGGAAGCAAGGATGAGGAAGGATGGGGATTGAACTGAAAGGGAAGGGGAGAAAATAGTGATGGCAACAGACATAATGCTTTACATGTTTTCGGTGGGCCAGGTAAAGTCTCGTACTGCATGCTCTCTGACACACAGAAAAAGAGACAGAGGGTCAGAAAGATAATTCATTAACGCTCAGATAGCTTTTATATTTATGTGGTAGAGCTGGGAATTGACCACAGTCTCCTGGGGGCCAAAGTCACTCTGTGCCTGTGTGTGCATGCTAAGTCGCTTCAGTCATATCTGACTCTTGGCGACCCTATGGACTGTATGTAGCCCGCCAGGCTCCTCTGGCCATGGGATTTTCCAGGCAAGAACACTGGAGTGGGTTGCTGTGCCCTCCTCCAGGGGATCTTCCCGACCCAGGGATGAACCCATTATGTCTCCTGCATGGGCAGGTGGGTCCTTTACCACTAGTGCCGCTTGGGAAGCCCCAAAGTTACTCTCTGTCCCCTTTAATACCTTCCCAAGAGAGAAGGTAGGGTTTGGGAGGGAAGCTCTAGAAAAGGCAGTTATTCTGCGGGTGGAATCCTATGGGCAGGTGAGATTCTAGCCCCGCCCCCTTGTAATCCAGCAGTGGCCCTAGAGACCAGACCAAGCTCTGTGGCAACTCTGTCCCATCCTCTGCCTGATCAGGGGAAGAGGGCAGCACGACTTTGGGGAGAATGGATAAACACGGTGAGTGGGGCTGGAGGACAGGGTCTCTTGACCCCAGGGTGGACCAACAAGCTTATCACCATGGCAACCCCAGAGTAGAAGTCCAGCCTTTTCTCAGTTACCCATCCATATACAAGCCCTCTCCTCTCTCTTTTCTGAATGTTCCTGACATCTCCCCTCTCGTCTTCATCTGCTGCTGTTCAGATCTTTGTCTTCTCTGGCCTGGACCTCTGTAATGATGCCTAGGTGGGTCTCTGTCTCCTTCTGTCACAGGAAACATCCTAAAGGATGCTCTGAGCACATCCCTGTGTCAAAATGTCCAGAGGCGCCCCAACTGCTGAAGGACAGGGTTCAGACTCCATAGCCTGGCCCCCAAAGCCCCAACCTCCCTCTCCAATTCCTCATCCTTCCCACATGTCCCCAGCACCCCTTCCTGGCTGTGCCCTAGGTCTGGCCTTTCAGAACCAGAAGTCTCCTTAATGTGTTTTCCTAAATAAAAATACAGTGGAACTTGGGGATTGCCTGGCAGTCCAGTGGTTAGGACTCTGTACTTCCACTGCACAGGGCACAGGTTTGATCCCTGATCTGAGAACTAAGATCCCACAAGCCATGTAGCTTGGCCAGGAAAAAAAAATACAGTGGAGCTTGGCTCTCCACCTATAGCAATACCAAGAACTTGTAGAATCTCTGAAAAAAACCTTTGTGGGGGAAAGCTTTCAAAAGTCTTTGTTGAAATGCAAAGGCCCCTCTCTTACCTACCTCATCACCTACCAGACAGTGTCGGGAAGCAGCAGGACAGATGACGTGGTTAGCCAGGTGACGACATGCAGTTGGTACTCAGCACATGTGGGCTGGAACACTAACTTTATTATCATTCCCCTTTGCTTCCAACCTCTTTAAACAAGATGGGCAGGGATCAATGGAAAATTTTCTAGACCTTTCTAGGGAAAACCCCAGGAGCTGTGTCTTCCCTGCCCTCCTCCTCCTTTTTTTCCTTGCAAGTCTAGCTCCCCAGATCCAGCAGACCGCAGGGCACTCGGTGGGGCTGGGCCTGTGTTTGCTGAATGAGTGGTGGACACCTCCTGGTAGGTTACTTTCAGATCAGCCATAGGAACTTCCCACCTGCCAGGACTGCTGCTTGGGATTGTGGAGTTTGTGCCCTGAATATCAGCAAGGGGCGATCAGGGGTGGCTGAAATCCAACCAGCAAGGTTGGGGTCAAGCCTGGAAGGACGAATAGAGGCCTTTTTCTCATTGGTCTGCCCTCCATGTGTGTATGGGGATAAGGGTGAATTTCCACTTAGTCTGCCCATATGGGGCGCTTTTCTGTATTGTTCTGCGCGTGGGAGGTGCCATGTGCTCTCCTGCCTGCCTACCCCGCAGCAAGTGACGCTGGGCTTTCTTAAGGCAAGGCCCATTTTGAAGAAGGAAATCCCATTCCATGCAGAAAACAAAATATAGATAACCAACTATTAAAATTCCAATCGGGGCACTTCATGATTACTGACCGCTGCACAGACATCAGTCCGCACCCCGGGGCCAATTAGAAGGAAGAGGGTGATGGACCACCATACCCAGGCTCAAGCCTCACTGCACCAGTTTGTTGCTGGCTTCCGCCCCGCGTCCCAGCCCTGGGCCAGGCGCGTCACACAGACTCCACCTGATACCTGCTTTTCAGTCACCCTTGAGATGGGCACTGTTTCCTCTCCATTTTACAGAAGGGGAAACGGAGCTTGAGACCTTCTTCAGCTGGGACGTTCAGGGACCTAGGCAGTCAGGTTCTCCTTTGCCCAGAAAATCCTGCACACTCTGGAAACCCTCTCTTGGAATCTTGCTGGTCCCGCGCATCTCATGCACGTCCTTCGGGCGCCTGCCTTTTTTGGGGGGATCGGGTTAGGCGCCACAGTCAGGGTACCAGGGAGGGCCCTTCACTGATCTCCACCCCCCACTCCCCACACCCGTGCAGGCGTGAAGGCCCCCTTGTGGAAGAAGGAGCTGGAGGAGCCCCGGGCCAGGGAGGCAGAGGCGGAGGCCGAAGCCGCGGAGGAGGAGTCGGAGTCGGAGGACGAGGAGAGGCCGCCGGAGGAGAGCGCGGCCGCGAGCGAGGCCAAGGCCGGCGGGGAGACGGAGGGCGGCGAGGGCCGCGAGCGGGGCTCGGTGTCGTATTACCCGCTGCGCCAGGAGTCCAGCACCCAGCAGGTGGCGCTGCTGCGGCGCGCGGACAGCGGCTTCTGGGGTTGGTTCAGCCCCTTGGCGCTGCTCGGCGTCCTGGCCGCGCCGGCCGACAGGTGAGGGCGCGCCCCGCGGCGGGGGCGGGATGCCCCTGGGCGCCCGGCGCGAGCGCGCGGCGCGGTGCCCTGAGCGCCCCGGTCCCCGCCCGCAGGAAGCGGAGCCCTCCCGAGGAGCCGTGCGTGCTGGAGACTCGGCGGCGGCGGCCGCGCGGCGGGGGCTGCGCGCGCTGCGAGATCCTTTTCTGCAAGAAGTGCGGGAACTTGCATAGCTCGCCGAGCTACGTGGCCCATTGCGTTCTGGAGCACCCGGATCTGGGGAGAGCCCGGCCTGCTCACGGCGGCCCCTGAGCGCCACCACCACTCCCGGCCTCTGTAGCCCTCCATCCTTGCCTCCACCCCAACTGCCCGCAACCCTCCCCTCTCTTCCCCGACGTCGATCACGTGCCGGAGAGCCGCCCTTCCGGGGCGCCCCCCTTTCGGAGCAGACCAGCAGGCGCATCCCCCATGGGGCGGCCCCACCTGTCATGAGTGCGCAGCCCATCATCAACTGGAGGTCCGTTCCTGCAACAGCGCCTCCCCGGCCAGCACGCGGTGCCCATCGCCCACCTGACTCCCGTCTCCTGCCCACAGCCCTCTCACTTGTCTCTTGGGTATTTCAGGTTCCTTCTGGCCCGGTGGGCAGAGGCATCGCCTAAAGTAAACAACCCCTCTGGGAAACTTGCCCCTCCCCTCAAATCCTCCAATAAAGCCTCTGATCCAAGTGTGAGTGCCTAGAGGAGGGGCGAGGGCCCCGGTGAGCGTGATAAAGAGCAATCCTCCTTGCCCTTCCCCCGGGTTCAAGCCGGAGGGAAAAGGGCAGGCGGAGAGCCTCCTCCCAGCAGCTCCGGGCAGAACCAAGCCCTTGCAGCCAAGGGCAATCAAAGGCCGTTCTCCCCACCGCGCGACCAGAAGAAAAAAGGCAGGCTCCGCGCCAGGAATGCCCCCTGGGAGCTGAGGGCTAAGACTGGCCGGATCTTCCTCCCCTCCCGCGGTCAGTGTGTGTGCCCACGAGACCCTGGCAGGTGTGGAGTGCGCAGACTAGAGAGTTAGCCCAGAAGCCTGCTGAGACTGAAGACTGGGAGGCTGCGGAGCTGGGTCCTTCTCCAGGAATCCCAGCTATTCTTGGCCGGCCAGCGGGAGCTCCTGGAATGCTTCGTGTGTGGCCAGGACAACGGGGCCATTGTGAGCACCGGGGCTCTCCCAACCTGCAGAGGCCCCCAGCGCCTGCAGCAGCCAGACCTCCAGAGAGGCCCGGGGCCTCCTGCGGCCACACAGGGTTCTCCATCTGGCCTGGAGGGTGAGTGGGCGAAGGACACTTTGCTTTTTGAGGAGAGCGGCAGGCCCCCTCTATCACGACTATACACCCGCACAGCTCACTGGGCCTGGCTAGGACAAAGAAGAACACGGTTGCCCCCTCCCCAGCATCCACGCCCGCCTGCTCTCACCGGACACCGGTCCAAGGAAGCTGCTCCCCTGCTCCAAGTCCACTCGCTGGGAGCACCTCTTTATAAAAAATAGCAGGGCTCAGCAGGTCTGCATTGGTCTCCTTGTTCTGGGTCCTGACTCCCCTGAGGTTTGAGACTCTGGTACCCAAACCATACAAGCTTCCTGGCGGCAGGGCCTCTGATTAAATAACACACAGTTCTCTAGGGACCAGGTCAGGAGGTCCTGAGGGGAAGGGACAGTCTGGGAAAGTGTCCCAACTTCTCTGCTGAGTTTGGCAGCCTTCCTGGTTGTCCAATACTGTGGCCTCGGGGACAGGAACTGCACCTTTGGGGCAGAAGCATAATCCCCAAGGCCTGGGGAGGAATGAGTCCCTGGGGAAAGGGCCCATGGGGTCTGGGACCCTTTTTAGCTTCTTGAGTTGATCCCACAATGGTCAGTGTCTCGGGACTTCCCTGTGGTCCAGTGGTTAAGACTTCGTGCTTCCTCTGCAGGGGGACAGGGGTTCGATCCCTGGTTGGGAAATGAGATCTCGAATGCAATGTCTTGACAGCACAAAGACATCCTCCAGGGAACAAACACAGACCACCTTTCTTGCCCTGGCTTCTGTGGTGAGGCTTGTCTGTCCTTGGAGCAAGGGACACACATTGGCCATGAAGGCACTCACTAAGAGGTGGGGGCGTCTTCAGAACAGGGTGCCCCCTGAGTTGGCGTGCCAGCAGCCCATCCAGGGCAGCTCTGTGGCCCAGCGGCCAGAGGTGGTTGTCTGGAGCTTGGCCTGGTCGAGGCGCCAATAGCGGTCGTCCCTGAAGAAGATGATGGAGCCGTCAGGCCTGGGCAGGGCACCGCTGACCTCCTCCGGGATACCGCCCCAGTCCTGCAGGCCTCGGGGGTAGTAGGGCTCCACCTGCAGCCCCCCTTGGGCCAGCACGTAGTAGCGAGTGCCTTTGAAGAGGACAAGGCGGCGCAGAGGAGGGAAGAAGAAGGCAGCATCGGGGTGGCTGGGCAGGCCCCCCGTCCGGCACAGCTGTGGGGAGCCCCACACTGGCTTGGGGCCCCGGAACCTCCAGCATCGACTCCCTGTGGGATGTCGGAAGGGCCAGGGTGAGTTGGCGGCTCTCACCTTCTGGCTCTGTTCCCCACCCCTGTCCCCCAACACCCGTACTCCCCATCTAGTTGGAGCCCAAGGTGGTTAGTATTCACGATAACCAAAATGGACCAGTGATAAATCGCAGAGGAGGAACTGCTGCGGCTTCAACTTCCAGCAGGTGTCAGCAGAGGGCGGGGAGCGCAGAAGGACCCGCGCCCCCCCCCCCCCGCCCCCGCGACCCCCGGGCAGGAATCACACCCCCTCCCCGGTGAGGAATGGACTTCCCGCGAGGCCAAAGGCTTTCTCCAAGGCCATTACTACCAACAATTCTTTGGGTTGGTGATTTTTGTTTCAATCACTACTGTATCCCAACACCTCCAACCCAGTGTGCAGAAGGCACTCAGGATTGGTCGAATCAATGAATAAACACTATTTTCTCATGTCATATACTGCACATTCCTCAGATTAATCCTCCTTAATTCCTCACATTAATCCTCCTTTCCCAACAAGGCTGAGGGATTCTCTTCCCTGTTCAACAAATTCAAGCTCCAAAAGCGGTGCTGGAGAAGACTCTTGAGAGTCCCTTGGACTGCAGGGAGATCCATCCAGTCCATCCTAAAGGAAATCAGTCCGGAATATTCATTGGAAGGACTGATGCTACAACTGAAGCTCCAATACTTTGACCACCTGATGCGAGGAGCTGACTCATCAGGAAAGACCCTGATGCTGGGAAATATTGAGGGCAGGAGAAGGGAGTGACAGGAGGATATGGTTGGATGGCATCACCGACTCAAGGGACATGAGTTTGAGCAAACTCTAGGAGATAGTGAAGGACAGGGAAGCCTGGCGGGCTGCAGTCAATGGGGTCACAAACAGTTGGACATGACTTGGCGACTGAACAACAACGAGTTAAATGACAGGCCCAGCCTCACACAGCTAGGCTTCTAAAGAAGGTTCATTCTTCTGCTGTATTGCAGAGCTCGGAGCTGTCCTCTGCCTCCCTCGTCTCTGAAGTGCTTCCACCCTCTCTCCTGGGACAACCTTGGCACCTGTGTCCCCCAACCCATCACTAAAGGAAGCTCCTGGGAGAGTTCCTGGGGCAGCAGGTTCAGATTGCAATCGAGACTCCTCCCGTTTTGACCTTGGGTAGATTCCTCCTCTGCTAGGACTCAATTTCCTCTTCGGCCCCAGGGCTGGTACCTTTGAAGAAGTAGAAGTCTCCATCCTCCAAAGACACGGCGGCTGCCTCGATGTGGGGGGGCAGCCCCGCCCACCTTTCCCGCAGTGGGCGGGGCTCTGAGACGTTGCCGTCAGCTGTCACCTCCCAGAACTGGTTCCCTTGAAAAACGTACAGGCGCTGTTGTCCGTCTGCCCGGAGCCAAGAGAGTTGAGGAGTGACCGTCAGCCTCCTGCCTTCCTTCCATGGGAGGTGCTTCCCTAGAGCCCAGCTTCCCAAACTGATGAGAGGACCCAGCAGAGAGGATGCAGTGTGCACAGCTGGGACAGAAGCGAAGGTGCAGGAGGGAGCAGGGTTTTGCCTGGCGTGGGCTTGCTACCCTGAGGAGTGCCTGTGACTTGGGATTTCTGGGTTTTATAATTGCCACCCTCCCAACCTTGTACTTCAATTCCGGAGACCCTAGAAGATGCTGGGGGGAGGAAAGAAGGAAGCGAGGCACTGGTGGGACCATCTTACCTACAGTGATGGCATCGAAGGAAGAATGGCAATATTTAGGACCTCGGGTTTCGGGGCGCCTTCCCTGGAGTCTCAGGGGGTCCCAGGCCTCAAAGTCAGTGAACAGCTTTCCCGGCAGCTGGATGGCCGCTGAGCCCCCCTGGGGCTTCCCTTGGTGGGGGGAGGAGGAGAAGGAGGGAAGCAGGAAAGAACACACACTGGCTGTGGGGTGGGGTGCTGAAAGCTCAAGACCTCCCCCTTGGTTCATTTCATTATCTGACAGGTGCAGGGAAGGAGAGCAGGGGTGGGTAGTGGGGGTTAAGAGTTATCCCTGGTTGTTGGTGTTAACTACAGCACCAAAGTCAGAAGTCCTCTTTCCTACCCCACAGCCTGTGAGAGGGTAAAACTGGAGTGGGGAAACAAACAAGGGTTTGGAACTAAGATGGGCAGAGGGTCCTCTTTCCTGCATCCTGGACAATGCAGATAGTAGGAGTGCAGAGTTCAGGGACCCAGGCTGTGATGATGACCGCAGTGATAATTACATCACTGCACTTCACTTGTGAGAGTGAGGCAGAGTCCGACAAGCTTAGAATGTGGCCTTAGTTCCTGAATCCTTGCCTGCACCTTCCTAGCTGTGTGACCTTGGACAAGTTATCTAACCTTTCTGAGCCCCATTCTCTTCATTTGCGGATAAAAAGATACTTACTTCTTGGGTGTGTTAAGTAGCCTGGCCCATGGTAGACACTCATGAAATATCAGCTGCTATTATTATGTTTATGTAGATTTCTTGGGCTACCAAGCATGTTCATAGGCACTAGAACAAGAGCCCTGTGGGGGTAAGCAGGGCCTAAATTATTCCCCTCTCCTTTTTTTTTTTTTTTTTTTTTGGTTTTTTAAGGTAAAATGGAGGATTCTAACAGAGGAAGTGCTTTGCCCATGAGCAACTGCTAGTCTGATATGAAATGGGGACTTGATCCCAGGGATCCTGGCCTTGTCCACTGCCCCCACGTACTCAGGGACGCAGCCCCCCAGGCGGAGGCAGGCCTTGGGCCCCTATAAGTCTCCGGGCAACAGCACGGGTCAGTTCACTCTGGGGAAGACCTTGTCTAAGCCCACCGCTAGGCAGAGACCCAGGCTCGGGGGCGAGGGCCGGGGGGCTGGGTGGGAAGAGTGGGCATCAACGTCACGGAGGCTGAAGTTTGGGAGAGAGCCACTGGAGCTCGGAGCAGGAATGGGGGGCGGGGGGCGGGGGGTGGGTGGAGGTGTATGGGAGGAACTGCGCGGCCTGGGGTTGGGCAGCAACAGACAATTGGAATGCAGAGGAGAGCTGTGCCCAGGGGGTCGGAATGCTGGAAATAGGCGTAGGAAAGCAGCAGAGCGGGAGATGAGGTTTTTCAGATCTGAGGAGAGCCTGAAGTTACAGATCGGAAAGGACCAGTGATGGGCAAGCCAGTTTCCTGCGCTTAGGATGGGGGATCCTCTTTGAAGAGCCGGCGTCCGAGCCCTGGGGGGTCCCGGGTTGGGGGTGGGGGGCGCAGGCGGCGGGTAAGGGCGCAGGGGCGTGCGCTCGGGAGGCTCTCACCATACAGGCTCTGCACGGCCAGCACGTCGTCCCAGCTGAGCAGCGCGTCGCGGCCCAGCCTCTTGTAGTACGGCGCCATGAGCGCGCGCGGCGCGGCCGAGTGGGTCAGGCCAAGCGTGTGGCCGATCTCGTGCGCCAGCACCACGAACAGGTTGCGGCCGCGCCGGCGGCTCAGGGACCAGCGCTCGTCTCGGTCGAAGTGCGCTTCCCCGCGGCGGGGCAGGAAGGCGTGCGCCAGGGCGCCCCCTGGAGGCGGCGCGGCGGGTCAGGGGCAGCCGGCGCCTCCGGCCCTCCACCCCCACCACCGCCCCGCGCAAACGCCGTTGGCTTGGGTGTGGGTGCTTTTCTGATGGGTGATTTCACTCCTAATTGAGTCTGGCAGAGGCGGAAGTGTGGAGCAACGAACAGATGACTAGGCTGTGGGTCTGGACGCCTCGGGGGCAGCGTGGTGTGCAAAGAGCATGGGGCCAAACTGCCTGGCTTGCAGTCCTGGTTTTAACCATTTATCCTAGCTGCTGTGACCTGGGCAGATAGCTCAAGGCCTCTGTGTCTTAGCTTTTAGATCCGAGAAATGAGAATGTTGACTAAGAGAGTCGATCCTTGCAGGGCTGTTATGAAGATTAAAAAGGGATGTGTTGCTCAGAATAAAAGTTCGATTTTTAAGTTGTAAAAAAAAAAAAAAAGGATGTGTGCACAGCCCACAGGGCTTCCCAGGTGGTGCTAGTGGTAAAGTACCCACCTGCCAATGCGGGAGACATAAAAGACATGAGTTCGATTCCTGGGCAGGGAAGATCACCTGGAGGAGGGCATAGCAGCCCACTTCAGTATTCTTGCGTGGAGCATCCCCGTGGACAGAGGAGCCTGGAGGGCTATAGTCCATGGGGTCGCCAAGAGTCGGACACGTCTGAGCACACCACACAGTACATCTGTATGTCACATGTAATACTTAGAGCCTACTGTGGGTAATAACTACTACTTATTTTCGAAGAGACCTAGGATTAGGGATCAGTGGTTACCCCAGAAGGGGGCATAATGAGACTTCTGGGGTGTTGGTAATGTTGTTTCTTCATCTAGGTGCTGGGTGTGTTTATGGGGAGGTATAGGCTTCCTTTTTGAGAAGTATATATAGGGGAATTCCCTGGCAGTCCAGTGGTTAGGATTTGATTCCCATCAGAGATCTAAGGTAACTAAGAGCCTGCATGCCTCTGAGTGCAGCCAAGAAATAATAGAAAAGAAAGAAAAAAAAAAAACTTGTATTCATTTGTTCTTGCCATCCCTCTGCCAGGGCCCTCTGTGGGTCTCTGCTTCCCTGCTTGTAATAGGCGTGAGCAGAGGGAGATGGGCTGGGTCAGTCATTCTCAAGCTTATAGCAGGGCCCAGATGTAGTTTTGTAGTTTCTAGAGCCCTACCCCCTCAGAATTCACTTTCCCCAAGGGTCAGAAAACAGCACTGCAATGATGCTGGCTTAGGAGCCCATTGAAAGTCCTTCTTACATGGCCTTCTTGGAACCCAGGCCAGCAGGGACTGACAAAATTTGGGGGCTTACCATTAGAGGGAGCCTCCTGGGGCATGGAGAGCCGGCCTGAGGAGGAATGTGGGTGTGTGTGTGTCTGTGTGTGTGTGCACATGCTAAGTCATGTCTGATTCCTTGTGACCCTATAGACTGTAGCCCGCCAGGCTCTTCTGTCCCTGGGATTCTCCAGGCAAGAACACTGGAGTGGGTTGCCATGCCCTCCTCCAGGGAATCTTCCTAGCCAGGGATCAAACCTGAGTCTCTTATGTCTCCCGGATTGGCAGGTGGGTTCTTTACCTCTAGTGCCAACTGGGAAGCCAGTGTAGGAGGAATATTTGCTTCTAATTTTGAACATGCCTCAAGTTGTTTTGAGCCATGTAAGCCCTTATTGTGTAACCCTCACCATGATCCTGGAAGACAGATGGGCAGGTTTCAAAGGGAGAAGACATAAACTCAAACGAACACCAGTTTCAAATCAGAGAGCTGACTCCCAGTCCAGCGCTGTCTTAGCAACCAGACTCCACCTGGGTACGGCTATCAGCGTCTCATGGCGATATTGTGGGTGAAGGGAGTTACATGCAAGCACATGTGAGTGGTACATGTGGATTCTTGTAAAGCCTGGATTTCTCCCAGTCCTACCCTGGGTCCCAGGAGCAGGGCTTGGAAGTGGGATTTGCTCTGAGTGGGCTTGATGGAAAGTAGAAGGGTGCAGGGGAGGTGGGGGCCCAAGTTCCCAGGCCACACAAGGGCTTAAGTCCTGAAGGGGTCTAATGAGGTCTCCTTGCCTCCCTAGCGGAGAGGAGATACACAGATAACCTGTATTCAGGTCATGAAGGCCAGTGCTGGGCAGACCGAGATGAGGGCAGTTTACATTATAACTAAAGGGCAGTAAGCCTTTAGTTTTGGGACCAAACAGAAGAGTCTGGGCTGTGAGTGTGTGAAGCGGTTGGCATGGAGGGGATAGAATGTCCCTTGCCCTGCATCCGTGACTGTGCCGTGGGTGGTGGGAGGGTAGGGGTGGAGTTGTGGTGGCCTCTAGGTGTTTTTAGAGCCTTGGTCTGAGGGAACATCCACTCCTGGAGAAAGAGAGGCACCAGCCTGACAAGAGGCAGGGTATGGAGGAAAAGACCCCAGGAGGTTCTCCCAGTAGAGATAATACTCCTTAGAGTTTGCAAGACACTTTCCATGCAGAACCTCATGTGACCAACCCTTCAGCCATGTGGCACCTAAGAGAGCAGGGATCACTGTTCCCATTCTACAGGTGGGAAGACTGAGGGTTCTCTGGAGGGGGCTGCAGCCTGGCCAAGCCTACAGGAGGAGCGAACCCTCCACTGCCTTCTCTCCAGACTGCCTTTCCTAGTTGGGTTTCCCTCCTGCCCTGTAGGAGATAGGCTCGGCGTCAGCACCTGGGCCATCGAAGGCGTTGCTCAGCCCGTCGTTGTGGTCCCCTTGGAAGAAGGTGAGGCGGATGTCAGCGGGGCCCGTGGCTGGGGCCTCCCAGAACTCCAGCGCCGAGACGTTGCTCCACAGCTGGAAGGCGGCACGTACGGCCCCCCGGACTGCGGGCTCGGGCAGGTGCTGGGGCCAGTTCACCAGGCGGTAGGAGAGATGCCGTTTGTACCACTTGTTGCCTGCCACCCAGAGAGGCTGCGTCAGTCACAGCTGCTGCGGAGCCTGGGGCTGGCCCCGTGGACCCTTTTGATGGGGAGATCGGCCCTCCCCCGGGAAGTCCGTAAACTGGTGAAGGAGACACAGCCTTGGCCCCGAGAAGCCCCCATTGGTGGAGTCACTGATCTCAGACTGACAAAGCGACCCTTGTGTTGCACAGTCTCTGGTCCAGTGGCTTGGCCCCCATGTGATGGGAGCTGTGGAGCCTCGACTCAGGAAGGATCCCCAACCCCAAGGACTCTCGGGTCTGGGGTCACCTTCCCCACTGTCTGGACCAAGCTTGAACATTGAGCCGCGCCTCTTGCTGGTAGCGGATCCCAGCCCCTGCCTACCTTGTGGGGGCGGAGGAAGGGGGCCCGTGGGGGCCGCACTCGAGATTCCCCTCTCCCCCCTCCTCTTCCCCACCCCTCTCACTCTCCTGCTATCTCCCCTTCCCCGCGCCCCCAGGCCTGCCGCTGACAAGAGACCACAAGGCACATTTATTTGAGGTCCTTCTCTGTCCCCCGGCCCTCCCCCCTCACTTCCTCAGGGACTCTGCAGAGCTCTGAGGTGAAAACAAATAAGAACAAAGGATGTGTTTTGTCACTGACCAAGAGAAATTTTTCCATTTCCACTCAGTGAAGAGTTCCTTTGCCCCAAACTGCAGTTCCTCCCGGAGGCCGGAGACTCTGGCCTCTTGCCCGCGTCCCCAGTCAGCCAAGTCCCTCTGCAGCTCATCGGTCACCCAGGACCAGGGTGCTCAGAAGGTCCAGCTCTCAGACTTTTTAATGGGCTATTTCTGAGCTCTGCAGGCTCAGGGACCGAGACTGTGACCCCCAAGTGGAAGACTTGCAGCTCAGAGATAGGACTCCTGGGAGTGCACGAGAATCACGTTGTCTTAATCACATTGTCTTTTGGGTCTCAGTGTCCTGAGTTACGGTAAAGAACCCGCCTGCCAATGCAGGAGACATAAGAGATGCGGATTCGATCCCTAGGTCGGAAAGATCCCCTGGAGGCGGGCATGGCAACCCACTCCAATACCCTTGCCTGGAGAATCCCATGGACAGAGGAGCCTGGCGGGCTCCAGTCCATGGGGTCGCAAAGAGCTGGACACGGGTGAAGTGACTTAGCACTCACATATGTCCCACATGGACCAGACTTCCTGCAGCATGGGTGATGAGTGGGCAGGGTGGGCCTGCCTGTGTTGGAGGACAGCCCCCTCTCTTCTCGGAGGGGGGACCAGGTGAAGGTTCAGAGCTCCTGCCCTTTTGTCCTGGGGCTGTCTTTGCCTGAACCAGGCAGAAGGCGTGAAGTCATGGGTGTTCGGCCATCTCCTTATCCATCTCTCTGCTCTGTTTTGCAGAGACTGAGACCAGGAGGAAGGGACTCAGAATGAGTGAGTCGGGACTTCCCTGGTCATCCAGGAGTCAAGACTCTGCCCTCCCTACGCAGGGGGCACGGGTTCCATCCCCAGTTGGGGAACTAAGATCCTGAACTTGGCACGGCATGGCCAAAAAAACAACAAACAAAAACAGAAAAAATAAAGATAAAATCTCTTAAGAAAAAAAAAAAGAATGAGTGAGTAGTGGAGCTTGGCCCTGAGCCCCGGCCCGACACTGATAAGCAGGCACATTGGCTAAGACTCAAGGCTTATACATTGGCCTAAACATCGCTTCTTTGCGTCACAGCAGGGGCCCTGCAAGAGCTGAAATTCTCCTGAATTCTCTGGAGAGCAGAAGAGCTGAGTGCCCTTTCCCTCCTCTCCACCCCTGCACGCCCTATGGCAGGCAGGGAGGGACTGTCCCTTCTCCTACCCCGAGCCAAGCTCCAGGCAAGGCAAGGCTGCCTCCTGGGACTGTAGGGTCTGGCAGCCACCCAACCTCTCCCAGCCAGTGAGCAACCCTCAGGGAGGGAACAGGGAAGGATCTAAGGATGGGAGGGGGCCCAGGAGGGCAGAGGAAGGCCTGGAGTCCAGAGGCGCCGCCTGAGGCTTCACTCTATGCCAGGAAGCTTCTCTTTGACAAGTCTTCACTGGGCTGGACTCCTCTCCACCCTGCTATGGGTAAGTCACTCTCAGACTCTCTCCCCTCCACCTTCAAGCTTCTAGAAAAGTATGAGGCAGCTCCTTCTGCCTTTTTGCAGCTAGGAGAACCCCTCACTCTGTGGGCAAGAAGTGGGGAGGCTAGGGAGGACAAACAGAAATGGGAATTGAGAGAAAATGACTAACTGTCCTTAGGAGCGGAGCTGGGTGAGGGGCAGGGGAGCAAGGAACCACTGGGCCAGCAGCCTGAGCCTTTACCCCCTGTCTTCTTCTAGGTGTGTGTTCTCGGAGCAGACCGGCCACTTTGGGCCCCCATCCCAAACGCCTGGCCAGGCAGGGCTGGTTTCCATGGTGACCCTCAGGCCACAGTAGCACCTGGCATCGCACCCCCTACACCTTTGCTCCAAAATCCAAAAGGGAGGAGGGAGGGAAAAAGAGACGGGGAAGGGCAGAGAGCTAGATTCCTTGCTTGGGAAGACCTTGAAGTCCTGATTCCCAACAGGGAACTGATATTATGGAGAGAACATGGGTTAACATCCCAGTGCCTCTGCTTACAACCTCGAATATCAAATTATTTGAATCTTTCCAAGCCTAAGTTTCCTTACTTGCAAAGTGGGGTTGGTAAGACCCACCTCCTGGTAAAAGTGAAATACCAAGTGAAAAAGCAACACAAAGCTGCCTGGCATGTGGTGGGTGCTCAGTCAATATGCCGGCTCCTTCCTTTTATATCCCAGATACAACCCCCGGGGCCCTCACCTGTATCAGCTCTGGGAGGTTTTGGGAGATTGAAAATCAGCCCTGTAAGCACATCTAGTTCCATGTGAACTTTGGATAAACAGCAAATACCTCTTTTTTTTTTTGGTATAAGTATGTGAAAACAAAATAATTACTTGTTGTTCATCTGAACTTCAAATTTAAATGGGCATCCTGTGTTTTATCTGGCAACCCTGGAGCCCAACTTCATCAGTACAGCATTCATCCACATCATGGAAAGCCACTGGCCTAGAAACCCACATCATTTTTTATGCACCTACCCACGTTCTGGGGTTTTTCCACATCTGGTGATCACTTAATCCTCCCAGTGACAAGAAGGCTTGGCTACTGTGTGGCCCTGGGAGAGTTGCCCAAGCTCTTGATCCCTCATTTTCCCCATCTGTAAACTGAGGGTGATAAGGGGACCCATCTCATACAGTTGTTATTGAATACAATGAGTTAATCCATGTAGAACCATGCTTGGCACATCATCAAGACTCAGTAGCCCACCAGGCTCCTCTCTCCATGGAATTCTCCAGGCAAGAATACTGGAGTGGGTGTGCCATCTCCTTCTCCAGGGTAACTTCCCAACCCAGGGATCCAATTCAGGTCTCTTGTATTACAGGCAGATTCTCTACTGTCTAGGCCACCAGGGAAGTCCAGTAATGATTACATTCTCTTTCCTAAGGCATAGGAAGTGCTCAGTGCCTGCCACACTCGCAGCTCCATTCTAGGGAACGTCCTCCCACCCAGGAGGAAAAGGAAGTCAAGCTGCTCTGGTGCATGTTGTGAACCAGAGGAAATTCTCTGTCTAGTCTGGCCACTGCTGTCTGGATAGAGGGGGACAGTGTCATGCAGTGAGATGGAGAAGGAGGTACATTAGCATGGACTGATGTTCAAAAGGAATGCTCCAGGACTTTTTACAATAGCCAAGACATGGAAGCAACCTAAATGTCCATCAACAGATGAGTGGATAAAGAAGAGGTACATATATATAATGGAATATTATTCAGCCATTAATAAAAATGAAATAATGTCATTTGCAGCCATGTGGATGGAGCTAGAGATTATCATACTGAGTGAAGTGTCAGAGAAGGAACGATCATATGGCAGTCCTTGTATGTCGAATCTAAAAATAAATTATATAAATGAACTTACAAAACAGACAGAGACAACAAACTTATGGTTGCTGGGGAGAAAGATGGGGGGATGAGACAGTTAGGGAGTTTGGGATGGACATGGACACCTTGGGGCTTCCCTGCTGGCTCAGCTGGTATAGAATCAGCCGGCAATGTGGGAGACCTGGGTTCGATCCCTGGAGAAGGGAAAAGCTACCCACAAGGTAGCCAACAAGGATGTACTGTATAGCAAAGGCAATCTGCTCAGCGTTACGTGACAGCCTGGGTGGGAGAGGAGTTTGGGGGAGAGTGGATACATGTACATGTATGGCTGAGTCCCTTCCCCTTTGCTGAAACTATCACAACATTGTTAATCGGCTACACTCCAATACAAAATAAAAAGTTAAAAAAAAAAGAATGCTTCAAATTGGATGTGGTAAATGGACTCCGCCAGTTCCTCCCTTGGGGCTTGCCTGGAGGCTGCATCCCTGTGCTCAGGTCACGTCCTGAGCGCCCAGGAGGCATCGCTTCAATTCTCTAGGACACCGGCTCTAGCCTGGACGTGTCGCTATTGAGACTGTCTGTGGCCCCATTTTCCACTGTATTCTCACGACAAGTCCCTTCCCCTTGGTAATCAGGGCCTCTCCTTTACAGATATTTCAGACACAGCCCAGGTCACACAACTAAACGCAGAGCCCCAGATCCATCCAGGGATGTTGCTCCAGCTCACACTGCTCCTCCATTCTGCCTCACCCTTCCCCTCCACTGTCCAGAAGCATGGGGGGCTGCAGAATATGCTGACTCCAAGGACATCTTGACCGCAGAGTCCAGATCCCCACTGCTCCTCTCTGTTCTACCAGGAATGCATTCGGGCAGTATGGGGCACCCGGAGGGGCCGCACGTGTGGACACAGTGGAGCCGGATTGGCAAACACCTGGAAACACCCGTCCTCCGACAGCTGAGGGGAACTGCCCACAGTTTCCTTACAAATCAGCTAAGAAATACAAAAAACAGCATGCCTTCTGTTCTGTTCCTAATGAGTATTGTCAGCCAAAGTCGTTCATGCAAATTAAAAGAAGCAATGGCCCTAAGTGCCCATAGTGAAATTAATAATAGATGAGAACCTGACTGAGCAAACTCGTCTTGTTAGAAATCTTGAAAACTGCAAAAAACTGATTAGAAAAAATTAGACTTAGTACAGACAAGACGTTAAAATTACACAGTCAAACTTGTTATTGACAAAGAATTGACAAGAATCGAATCTTCTTCATAAATCTTAGTTCTGTAACATCTGATCCTGAAAGATTGGATTTGGACAAACAAGGAGAAAGTGGAGGAGGAGAAAGAAGGGAAGAAAAACCCCCAAACTACACAAGGAGACGTACAACGGCAAAAACTGTAACGTGAAAATGTGTAAAATAGACACATTCAAACAGTCGGGAAGGAGGTTGATCAGTGTTGCCAACGGCTGGCGGGCAGGGGAATGGGACAGACGGTTTCTTTGTTGGGATGGGGTTTCTTTTTGAGGTGATGGAAATGTTATGAAATGAGAATGTGGCGATGGTTGCACAATGCTGTGAATATACTAAAAATCACTGAACTGTTCACTTTAAGTGGGTAAATTGTATGGTAAGTGAATTGTATTTCCATAACACTGTAAAAAAAAAAAATGTGCCATGACCAAAATAAAACTGATCGATGACACATCTTTGTTGAATAATTCTTATGAAAAAGAATCGATTCAGATGAAAATGACTTCAGTCAAATATAAAAGAAAACAGCGATGGTTTAACTGCCATAAATAGCAAATTGATCAAGGAATTAAGTGGGCTTGATGTGGTTTGCTCTGGAAAATACCTGCACAATGAAAGGTCATCAATGTAGGCATCATTCTGGTTTAAATATCTGTGCTCACAAACATGAGCTTTGGGTTAAGAGGTCCCAGTTGCCCTCCCTAAGGAAGAGAGGTTATTGACAGAGCCTGGTCTGAGTCTGAGAAGTATTTTTCTGGCTACTGGGGAATTCCAGCCCACCTAGATTTTAACAGTACTCACCTTGCCTTGCAAAGCGTTTCTTACGCCTCATTTTGGCCCGGTGTCCAGCAAAGAGGGCACTGACTCTCTCGGTCCAAGGCATCTGGCTGTCAGTATCTGCCACCCCGCAACGGGGCCGCGTCATCTGACGCAGGGTGGCGGAGTCCAGCACCCCACTGACGGGCAGCTGGGAAACCCACTGGAACTCCCTGTTAGGAGGAATTGAGATAAAGGACCACAGCGGGAGGCTGGCTGGTGCAGGGGAAGGCAGGCGGTGGGGGACAGGGGAGGGAGCCATGAGCGTGACCTCCTGCACACAGGTGGGAGACCAGCCTTCTAGCAGGAAAGCAGAGGTGACCCAAGCTTTTGCACGCCAGCATCACCAAGTCTTCCACATCCCTCTGCCTTACCTGATGGCATTACTGAATCGCGTGGAGGAAGGACTACTGGGGACCTGGTCACTGAGATATCCATACTTCTCCAGGAATGCCTGGGGGAGAGATGAACATCAGCTTTCCCTACAATGTAGCATCCTTTCCCCTTCCTGAATCTCCCAGGGTCCATGGCACAGACTTCACATCCAGGCTTATGCTCATTCCCAACCGGGTCTATGAGCTATAGCAGAGAGAATCCTGGCATCAGAGTCAGAACCTGGACTCAGTTCCTGGCCACCACTGATGAACTGGATATAGTTCTTTTTTTAAATCAATTTATTAAAACAATTTATTGTTTATTTATTTGGCTGCACTGGGTCTTAGTTGCAACATGCAGGATCTTTGCTGCATACGAACTCTTAGTTTCAGCATGTGGGATCTAGTTCCCTGACCAGGGATCAAACCCAGGCCCCCTGCTCCCTCTGGAGCACAGAGTCTTACCCACTGGACCACCACGGATGTCCGTGGATATAGTTCTTGGAGGCCAGTGGAGAGAAGTGTGGGACTCACTGCCCATACCTATCACCAGTCCAGCCCCTCAGGTGAGTGAGGCACTGGGCTCCCTGTTTGCCCTTCTCATGGATAAAGTCCCATCAATGGATTAAAAAAAAAAAAAAGCCACCTCAGCTCCTGAATTCTTATATAGACACATCGACTCTTCATTTTACCCCTCTTTGCTATGTTACCTATCCAGAAACAATTTTCTATCTTTCTTGTTCTCTTTGCTGTATTTCTTAACTCACATCAACTCCAGTCATAGCCGTTGCTTCAAGGAAAAGGTACAAGTTGGGAACAAAATCACACTAAGTAAGCAGCCCCTAAACCTCCCGCCTCCTTTTTGTGGATTTCATTACCTCGATCTCCAGCACACTGTACATCCTCTCCTCAACACAGCCCTGTTCCATAAGGAACCCTCGTTCTAGACAAACTCTTTCCAAGTCCATTTGATTGTTCTTCTGTGCTAATTTATTGGTATTTCAGCACTATTGTTTCCCTCTTTCTCTTTGCATGTTGGTGGTGGTTTAGTCGCTAATTCGTGTCCGGGTGACCCCATGGACCGTAGCTGGCCAGGCTCCTCTGTCCTTGGGATTTCCCAGGCAAGAATACCGGAGTGGGTTGCCGTTCCCTTCTGCAGTCTGTTTGCATAGGTACACTGTTTGGGGTTGCACCTTGGATTAAAGGAGTTCTAGGGGTTTAATCTGGAAGACTCTTTATGGCTCAAACTAGTGTGGCATTATAGAGTAAACTCTGGGCTTGGAATCAAGAATCTGTTCGCCACCATGACTCTGCTGGGTGGCCAGGGACCTCTCTGAGCTTCCATTTCTTCACCCACAGTGTGAGACCAGAAATAACCCCACCAGATTCTCAGAAGGATTAAATACAGCAGTGTCCATCTAGCATAGTTGTCTGGTATGTAGAGAACACTCAATGCACAGTTGATCTGGCTGATCGACCTTAGTGGGGAAATCAACAAGACTTTCGGAAGGCAACCCCTCTACAAGACAGGAAGTGCTTTGAACAAGGCAGTTGTGCCTCTGTAAATCAGGCCCTCTATCTCAGACTTGCCTCACGCCAGCCAGGTGCCTAGCTCTCGTCCGTGCCTCTTCCCTCTCCCCTGGGGAGGGTGGACAGAGTGGCTTTCTACCGGAAGCCAGGGAGGAATTAATGTTTCCCCAGAAGTGGTTTTGCTGAGTGAGTGACCTGGGAGAGACTGAGTCACAGGCTAACAGGGTGGCACTCCCCGTGTTCCTCCCCCTAAACCCACCCAGCCCTTATCAGGGAGTTGGCTCTGGTTCTGGAACTACGAAGCCTTGGACAGAGCGGGAGGGGAGAGGGGAAGTGGGCTAGCGGCGTCTCCTGTTTCCTGGCTGGGCTGCCAGCGCCTGGTACTTCTGGCAGGCAAGGTGGGTGGAGGGCAGGATGGGGCTGGAGGCTTTTGCAGGGGTCTATCAGAGGGGAAGTCCTGGGCTGCCTGGTCTCTGGGAATCTGTGGGTTGCAAGGCAGAGCTGAATTTCCAGCAGGCAGAGCGCGCAAGCATCCAGGACACCAGCCAAGAGACACCAAAAGAATGAGTAAAAGAAATGTTAAGAATCTGACACTTTATACTTCCATAAAAGCACAGAAATGTTATAATGGGGATTATCAGGATTTCAGAACTTCCTTATAGTTATTCTATGTTTAGTATGCATGCGTGCTTAGTTGCTTCAGTCGTGTCCCACTCTGCAACCCCATGGATGGTAGCCTGCCAGGCTCCTCTGTCTGTGGGATTCTCCAGGCAAGACTACTGGAGTGGGTTGCCATTTCCTCCCCCAGGGGTGTTTAATATGCACATATTTTAAAATATTTTAGGTACAGGCAGGGGCCCCTTAATCCTGAGTGTCCTCAAGTTCTGTCGAGTGGATGGAGGCCCACATCTCGGGCGAGGAGGAGGCACGGCTGAGATGCCGTCTGCTCCTGAAGGCTCCCTCACCCCCTTCTGTGTGCCCCTTTGCCCTGCCTCAGTTTTCCTCCTGCAAAGCTGAGAGAAACTCCCCTCTCTGCCTGGGAGAAAGAGTAGGGGTGCAGGGCTGGAGGGGCTTCCCAGGTGGTGCTAAAGAACCCACCTGCCAATGCAGGAGACAAGAGATGCAGGCTCCATCCCTGGGTCGGGAAGATCCCCTGCAGGAGGGCATGGCAACCCACTCCAGTATTCTTGCCTGGAGAACCCCATGGACAGAGGAGCCTGGCGGGCTGCAGTCCTTGGGGTCACAAAGAGTCAGACACGACTGAAGCGACTTAGCATGTACACATGCAGGTGGCAGCGTGGCCGAGACCCCAGGAGAAAACGCAGGCCTGGGGGGCTGTGCTGTGCCCTCTCAGGGGCTCCCGAGCTGCACCTGGGGTCACCTCTGTCCCCCTTCATGGAGCCCATGCCCAGGTGCTCCTCCCTGCCTCGACGTTCAAGCACCAGGTTTTCTCTCTGCCCTGTCCTCACCTCGTCATGTCCCCCACGGAGCCCAGGGCTGCAGCTGTAGGAAGAGGAAGCTGGAGGGCTGTGTGCCTTCATGATTCACCCTCTCAGGTCTCAAAGTGTGTGCCAACCTGCCTCACCCACTCACTCAGGACGGGGGCAGCTTCCCTGGGGAGTCCCCTCCGTAAAGCCCTGGGAGTGGCTGTGGTGTCTGAGAAAAAGGAAAATGGTTCTCCCCGGACCCAGAAAGCTGAGAAGGATCAGAATTCCAGGGGTTCGAGTCCTTCATCTGTCCTGACTTGCCCTGGGAGGGTGTGTAGAGCCCAGCCCACCCAGTGCCTGAAGGAAGGGGAAGTTCTGGCCATTTCTGAGCAGGGCAAGACTAGCAGTGAGGTGTAGCAAATGAATCCCAGAGCTGAGTCATGAGCCGGGCAGGGCAGGAGCCCAGGACTGAGCATTTGAACTTTATTCTTGGTGCTGCGGAGAACTGTGTGTCCTTAAGCAAGTCCTGTGCCTCTCTGATCTCAGCTGCCTCTTCTATAAAACGAGGGGGTTGCAAGACCTCCCTGGTGGTCCAGTGGCTAAGACTCCATGCTCCCAAATCAGGGGGCCTTGGTTGGATCCCTGATCGGGAAACTAGATCCCACATGATGCAACAATGAAGACCCAGTGCAGCCAAATAAATAAATATTAAAAAAAATAAAGTGAGGGGATTGGATTAGTGCTAAGATCTGCTCCAGTTCCTTCTATTATTGGAGTCTTGCTTCTGCAACTGATTAGCTGTGTGAACTATCCGACAGTTACTTACCCTCTCTGTGCCCCCAAATATAAAATGGGGTTAGGAATACTGCCTTATGCTTTTCACAGGAGCATTGTAAAAATCCAGTAAGAGGAAGCTTTGGGAAGGTTTTATGATAGTTGCTTCATTAAAAATGTTACTTTCCCCTTTACAGACACAGAACTTAATTGCTGGAAGGGACCTTTGGTAAATGAGTTGAGGAGGGACCAGCTCCCAGTCTCCTGTCCACAGAGTGGCTGGGACATCCTCCATATCAAAAATTGCAAGGACTTCTCTGGTGGCCCACTGGTTAAGAATCTGGCTGACAATGCAGGGGACACTGGTTTGATCCCTGGTCAGGGAACTAAGATCCCACAAGCCACAGAGCAACTAAGCCCGTGAGCCACAACTAGAGAAAAGTCTGTGCACCATGACGAACGACCCTGCATGCTGCAATGAAGATCCCACGTGCGGCAACTAAGACCCGATACAGCCAAAGAAAGGAATAATTTTAAAAAGAACTGCAGCAGCAAATATGAAGCAAAGAACTTGGAAAATTGCAAAATGGCAAGCTCATGAAGAAACCGCATTGCTTTACCTATGATCTTTTCCTTCTTATATTATGTTCCCTCTTGATTTTAATCTTTCTATAGTGACTCTGTGATTGTGTTTATCATCCAATACATCTGTAGCCCTATTAGCTAAGTCAAGATGCAGGGGGTGATAGCTGACGTTCTATCTTGGCCTGAGTGCTGCGGTGCTTCAGTTGTGTCTGAATCTTTGTAACCTTACAGACTATAGACCGCCAGGCTCCTCTGTCCATGGGATTCTCCAGGCAAGGATACTGGAGTGGGTCACCATGCCCTCCTCCAGTGGATCTTCCCAACCCAAGGATTAAACCTGTGTCTCTCATGTCTCCTGCACCGGCAGGCGGGTTCCTTCCCACTAGGGCCATCTGGGAAGCCCAAGCCCTCTCTTGGCATGTCCCATGAATAAATATATTTTCTGGTCATCAGGTGACCACAGTGAGCTCCTGCCTATTGCAAAGTTTTCAGGACATCTCACTTTCCTTGAGCATCACAATTACCTTGAAAGAACATAGGCAGGACAGTGTTACTCCCATTCTAAAAATGAGAAAAGTAAGTCTCAAGGGAGTACAGCATCTCATGTGCTGTGCAGTGCTTAGTCACTCAGTCGTGTCTGACTCTTTGAAACCCCATGGACTATAGCCTTCCAGGCTCCTCTGTCCATGGGGATTCTCCAGGCAAGAATACTGGAGTGGCTTGCCATGCCCTCCTCCAGGGAATCTTCCCAACCCAGGGACTGA